GGTGTAAGTCGTGTCGCCAAACCCTGTGGCATTGGTTTCACCCGTCATCTTATTTGGCCCTGATTGAGACATGGAATAACAGTCCAAACAAGCACAGCCAACCCCAGAGAGATTTAAAAAAGAAAGAACCCAGGTGACAATCAACACCTAAAAGCCAAAATACACTGGAAAAAGGTGAGACAAAGCGATGAAGAGCCGTTGGCTGACAGATATAATTATGGACTGAAAGCAATCACATCAATCCTCTACAATAACTCCAATCAATATAACTTTTCTTCTCTCTTCTTTCTTTTTCTATCAAAACCTTATTAGAATTCCACAGCCAACTCACCTTAGATTCCCCAGCAAAGATACCCTAAACGAGAAAGTTATCACTGTTAGAGGTTTGAAAAAATTGAATTAAAAAAAAAAAAACTACAAATAACAGACTCCATGGGAGGACTAGAGAAACAAAATAGGAAAAACCCTTATTGAAGATTTTATTCAGCATGTATCGATCATAATTAACTAAACAAGAAATGGAACATAACAATAAAAAAGGTGCAAGTGGGAAAAAAAACAGTAGAAGGGGAAATTTCCCAATGAAATTAATGAACTTTATTTCCATATTTTTCATCTTTTATTTGACATATCAATACTTGCCATACTTTTTAATGGGTCCAAAGATACCTTTTTTTTTTCGCATACAAATCAAAAAATGGATCCAAAGATACGTGCTTGCTGTATCCAACTCTCCATCTTTTCTTCTTTTCTCATGATCTAGTGTAAGTTGTCATGCTTAATAATACTCCTTTTCCATATTATTAAATTATTTATCTAATGGTAATTCATACTAGGTATTCCTGTGGAATACGTATATATATGTAGCATTTGGTATTATATTTAAGATTATTATAATAATTTAATTATAATGATGATAAAATCATTAAAGTTATTTAATCGTAGGTGATCTTAAATTATCATATATTATAATATTATATAAAAATAAATTATTTAATATAAATATCTAAATAATTTTATAAAAAATATTTAATACTTATTGAATTAATAATTTTATAAAATAATTAAACATAATTTTATACAAAACTATGAAATATAAATTAATTTTAATAAAAATAATTTCTAAAATAATTATTAAATAAATTAATTACTTTTTTAATTAATAGAAATTTATAATACAAAACTTTTTTAAAATATGTGGTTAAAAAACCAACTTTTAAAAAATTTTAATTTCCAGCTTCCAAGTCGTGTTGACTATATTTTTTATAAAAATAAATTAATCAAAAAATAATATTAAAAATTATTTTTTCATGATAACAAAATTTTTTCATCTTTTATATCGAAAATTAGATCATTCATTAAGATAATAATCTTATCATTTCAATAATTTAAAATCACTATCATATAAAATTTTTAAATTACTATTAAACAGGATAATATAATTATTAAATATAAATTATCATAATTTTTAAACAAATAACCTCGTACCAAATACTCTCATAATATTTTGGGGGCCATTGGAAAGCATATTCATTGACCCTCACCTTTTCTACCATTTCAAAAGCAGCTCATTCGGCAAGTCTTCTTCTTTTGGATATAATAAATACTAAATAAGTTTTTTTTATGTGAAATTTAAATTTAAATCAGTTGATTTTTAAAATCATGATATTTAATAAACTTAAATTTTAATTCTTATAATTTATATTTTATTTTTAAATTACAAAATCTTTTATATTGAAAAAAAAAAATGCTTCCAATTTGTTTTGTTATATGAGAGAAACCGTTATTTTTCTAGTGTGCGAATTTTCTTTGTGATCGTTAAGAGTATAAAGAATTATATATCGACCTTCCTCTCCAATAATTAGAAGAAAACCAAAAGAAAAGGAAGAGGTACGGATCTGGTTATTCATGAAAACATGAGAATCAAGTTGAATGCATATTAAATCATTGGAACTTTACATGTAATAAAAAAAAATTGAAAATAAAACCAATTCTGCATTGGGTAGTTTTCATTCCCAAATAGAAACATAAGAAATAGCTACTATACTATTTTTATGGATAGAAACTAAGTTAAGTTGCTGATTTCGATTCTCATAAACTTTGGGTTTATAAGAACAAAAGCAAAACTAAAAGTCAAAATCCATAAAGATTATCCAATCGATAGAGATAAAACTCCTCATTTTTTGTCGGTCAAGATTCATGAATTTGCTAAACACAGTGAATTTGCTATTCATTTCATAGCCTTACTTGCCCAAATAGGCTAAAAGCCCAAACAAACCTCAATGTTTTAAGAATCCAGGAAAGAAAAAAATAGTGACCCAAAGTTAGCTGAACTACGACCAATGCGATCCAAGTCCAGTTCACAGGTTCCATGCTAGAGCCTATTAATGTTTTACTGTACTTTCTCTTCATAAACATGGGATCTGACTCCAATTAAATATATCAATTTTATTCATATGTAACAAAAAAATATAATTTTTTATCTAAATAAGAATGAAAATAAATATTATATTATAAAAATAGAAATAGCTATGATTTCAAATTTTTGTTAAATACAGGGATAGCTATGGGTAATATAATCCGATACCCAAATCCTATATATATATATATATATATATATATATTTAATAGATAGATTTTTTATTAAATAATATAAATTATTATGTTAGATTAATTAGAATTAATATATTTCATTAAAAAATATATTAATATATATTTATAAAAAATTACTTAAATATACACGGTAAAATAAAAAAAGTTAAAAAATATAATTTTATTTTTATTTTTTTAAATATTATAAGTATAAGATTATCCATATCTATTGAATACCTACGGAGATGTGGATGATGATAGATTTAAAATATCCATTATATATAAATATAAAGATAAATATAATATAAAAATTCAGAGACAAGGATGAAAAATGCTTTACCCTCTCCATATCCTACTCACTGATGTCTTTAATCCCAACTTCGTTGCTCATCATACCAGTCAAAACGACAATTTAATGTAGTTTTTATTGGATTGGCTTAATTAAGCTACAAATTTATTATTAAGGGTATGAGAAGGTTTAGTAAATAATTTAATTTTTAATTATTTATATTTATTTATTTTATTTAACAAATAATTATTAATTAAAGATAAGATAATATATATATATGAGAATAGATTTAATTCATATTCAACTCATTTATACCATAAAAAAATTATATTGCCCTAGCCATAGTAGGAGGTTTGCAATTTCCCTACAAATTCATGACTTTAAAAAAGTCTTTAACAACCCACTTGAAACAAGCTCATCGGGGGGTGCTGAAGGCGGCTCCAAAAGGACAACAAGGAAAAGGCTTGTACAAAGTAAAAGATAAATCCATTGAACTCACCAAGTATTATTATTATTGTTATTATTATAAATCATGATTAAATTAGCTTAGTGGAAAGATAAACCAGAGCGAGATGGATGGCTTTAGACGCACCAATAGGCTTCTCCAATTGCGAACATATAGTTTTGTTTTTGTTTACTTTTAAATTACTTACCTTCGTTGGTTGAGCTAATGCTCTTCTCCTGATTCCTTTCTCCTCCAATGAAGTTGTTGCATATAAAATGACATTCTCCTAGTGGAAGACCCAACATTACCTACGAATACCTAAAGCAATAAGATTTTGACCCTTTAGTTTATTACAATTGCATATTATAAAGATAAATGACATCTGATGTAGCCCCACAAAAGGATCCAAACTTTCTCACGACCCCAAATAATCTAAACCATTCGATGCCCTCAGAGCATTGGAAAAAATTTCCCTTCTTATTATATCGGAGCTGTCCTTGAATATGATTTTGGTGCCTATAAATGATCACACGGAATAAAATAGTCGTGCCAAATGCTTTTCCATTGAAATTAATAATCCCCCACTCTAATCGACTATTGTACAACTAGTCTGTTACTGATCTCGTATGTACTTGTGTTTCATTGACATCACCAAACCCTAAGGATGATGAAATAATGCAATGTACAGATTTGTTTTAAAGAAGAAAGAGAAGGGGACAATATAGAATAAATTGGTGGTCGACCGTTTATAACATAGATATTTTATAGACCACTATGGAGGTGCATAAATATCAAGAACCAATATCTTTGCCTTTTTCTCTTTTAAAAAATCTGATCCAGTGACCGAGAAGATTTAGATTTTGGAGACTGGCCATTACTCCTTGGTGACAATCTCTTTATTTTGGTCTATAGTTGCCCTAACTAATTACATTTTGCCATTTGTGCAGCCATCAAGCTGATAGACGGTGAGGGAAGTCTATTTTGACATGGACACTATTAGGCTTTCCGACGAATAGACAGAGCCGAAGGCCACAGGCCAGGGGCGAAAGGAGATTATCAATGATAGTGAGCAATGTCAATGCGCCACCTTCCACTAACTGACCCTCTTTGCATGCGCATTTGATAACTTTTTAATTGTAAAACGGAAAGACAACTTTCTACTCCTCCACTCAAATGCAAAACAAACCCATTATTTGTTTAATGTTACTTTAAAGATATGTATGTATGTACGTATGTTACCCCTGCTCCTTTTACAACCAAACAACCAACTCTCTTGGTCTCATATATTATCTCGTCTCTCTTGCTAATAACCCCATAGCCCATAGCCTATAGACCATAACTCTTCTTGGCTCTAATTTTTTTGAAGCTAAATATGGGAAATTGTTGGGCTTTGCTTAGACCAAGTGAAGGATCTCGCCTGATCGGAGCTGTCAACACTAAGCCCGATCAGAAAGTTTTGCAGGTGGTGAAGATGGATGGAAAGATATTAGAGTTCAGAGCACCAGTTCTTGTTAAAGATGTCTTGGTGAAGTTCTCAGGCTCGGGTATCGGTTTATCAAAGACGGTTGCACAGCATCTGCCGCTTAACTACGAGTTGAAGATGGGGAAGGTTTACTACATTCTTCCTTCAGTTGATGATCCTGTTAGAGCTCCCACTCCTGAAAGTAATTCTGATTCATCTGTGGCTGACACACAACAAACCGGAGGTGTCAAGAGAATAAAAGTTGTTATAACAAAGCAAGAGCTTCATCAATTGTTGACGAAGCAACTATCGGTGGAGGAGGTTCTTGCATGCCTTGAGAAAAGAAATGGTAATTTTGTTGTATCTCCAAGAAATTGGAAGCCAAAGCTCGAATCCATATCGGAAGAAAACGAGCAATTATTAAAAAAGTAACTAGATTTTCAGCTGTTTCGCTAACTCTTTGAACTTCAGCTCAACGTATATGCTAGGTCCTGAAATGAAAAATTATATGAATCGATTAGCCTGAAAATGAAAAGAAAATTGTAGCATAAACAGAGGGTTTATCTATTTTCATTTGCTTTCAGCGCAGCATAACTTTGCGAGTTTGATCTTGTGAAACGAGAATCAACCATGATTTCCTAGTTGTTAGGCTCTGTAAAATCAATTAGCAATAAACAGAATAAATTTAAATATAAAATTACATGCAATACCTTAACATATGCGAGATAATATTATTTAATAGGCCTTATCACTTGAAGATAAAAATACAAAGGATCATTCCAAATAACAAATTTAGAAAGGGTAACAAGCAGAAAACCAAAACAGAACCAAAACTTTGATATGATTTTAAGCATTTATCCTTGACAAATAAGTAGAAAAGATCAAAAAAAAAAAATCAACTTGAATTCACCTCAAAAGTATAAGAACTAGAACGTTGTTGGAGGTTAACTGGTCTTATCACCAGCTAGTGCAACGGGTTGAGGCCGTGACTTCAAGAATAGTCTTTCAACCGAGTGGATTAGATAAGGTTTACCTTTTGCGCCTTTCTCATAGACTCCACAAGCGAGTCTCTTAGTAACAGGTGGGATGAGAGACATTCCAAGCTCATCAATAGACATGAGATGTTTTTCTTTAAAGGGTTGCTCCACATGAAAGTGTTCGTATATAGCTGTTGCAATAAGCAGTGGCTTGCTGTAGTCCAGTGCTCGCACGCCGCACGTTAGCAAATTGTCTTCCAGCAAAATCTGCTAAGCGCACTGTTAGCAGATGATGGGGAAATGACCATAATATCAGCCCATCGACAAAGCTCAATGTGAAGCACATTGTCACCTCCTTTTCTTTTTCTAGCTGGACATTGCATGATTTCATTGTCATCAGTGTAAACGTTTAGATCATAGGAAAGGGATGCTTTGTCAATGAAATGCAAAGAGGCTTTCGAGGCAATTGCTTTTTCTTTTTCCCATTCACAGAAACAGTGGCAGATGGGGTTTTTGAGATGGTCTGTTGGGCCTCAGACGTTAACTCGAGTCCCAAAAGTGTAGTCTGGCAGGCTTCACTTAATATTCCCGAGAACGAGCCTTGGTGCATATGTTAAGGGTTAAGACTTTAAGCTCTAGACTCATGTAACTTCAAGACATAAGAATGGATTCTTTCATATCTCATATCAGTCTAACACAAAAAAACGGTGTACGAACAATCAGGACTATGAGATTTGGCAACCTAGAACGCTACAGAACAAAATGGTACAGCAAATGTTTGAAGAAAGGGTAAAAAGAGAACAATGCAAAGGAAAGGCAAGAGTAAAGATTTTATTACTCAATGGTTCTGGTGTGTTCCATGAGAGTAGAACACTCTCTGTTTATAGCCAAGTCCCCCTTACAATTAGTGTTGAGCTACATTCTTAAAGTCTAGGGATTATGTCAGTTTAAATCCATTGATTCTAGGAGATATGACAATTTGAGCGAAAATTTATCTTGATCAATTTTAGACCTGTGCTTAGTAACGCTTGTGCCTGGACTTGTACCCGTGTCCGCATTTGAGCCCGACCCAATGTTGCCAACTCTGATTATCTCAAGATTATGTTCAAGAGTGCCTGCACCTTGGTTTGACCATACGCTCTCACCTCAATCCTTAGTGCCCATGCCTGTGTTTGCTTATGTATCTGTGTCATGAGTCGATACTTAAGTTTCGAATCGCATGACTCTAAGATCTTGGAATCCACTTATCCGACATCCCAGATCAGCTTACATGTCACGATTCACACACTTGTGAGGTATTGTCCGTTCTGACCCATCTGATCTCATGATTTTGTCCTACAAAAGATACCTCACAAGGCAGAGGTGGTGTGAACCCTTATATATTCTAGTAACCTTCCTTTTATATCCGATGTGAGATTCGAAACTCCTTTTTAGGTCCGTGACATTTTTTTCCACCCAACCTCGCGATGCCCTCATCACGGGGGTTGGTCACCCTGCCTACCTCCCTTAAAGCGCTTGACGTGGATCGAAATATTTAGGGCTAGCTCTGATCTACTTGTCACGAGCTGAGACTTAAACTTTGAACCTGCATGACTCCAAGACTCGAGAATTCACTCATCCGACATCTCAGATCAGCTTACCTGTCACAGTTCATACCCTTGTGAGGTATTATCTGCTCTAACCTCAATGAGCTCACGATTTTATCCTACAAAAGGTGTCTCATAAGACAGAAATACTGTGAATCCTTATGTATCTCAGTGACCTTCTTTTTATATCCAATGTGAGATTTAAGATTTCTCCTTAGGTCCGTGACGCCTGCACCTTGATCATCACTATCCGTACTTAGGCCTAATTCAATTATGTCGAATCTGAACATTATCTAAGACACTGGAGTCCTGATCATTGCTCACACAACTATTTTGGCTAGTTGACCGTGATCGAAACCTTCAATACACTTCAAAGGCTAGTCCTCTGGCTATCGAACTCTGTCTCGCTAAAACTAGAACTATTACTAAACTCGAAGAGAATCTTTAGGCTTGGATCAGCTTACGAACTATGACATTCTCCCCTACTCATTCTATCAACATCTTCATTGCTAGAGGAATGATACGTCCGCCTTGTATGCAATTTCCTTCTTCTGCCTAGCGAATCAGTTTTTTAACATTTTGGTCCTATACCCAAAATGTACTCTGCTAGCTTATGCTACTCTTGATTTTAAATTCTTCAGCACTCTGTTGCAAAGGTCCTTGTTACCTGTGTTATCGACATTTTTTATGCTTCTTCGAGTTGCTTGCAGTACACTATTTTGTAAGGAATTTGGCTACATTTTGGTTTAGGACTAAGGGCAAAGATATTTAAGCCAAAGCCATTTCGGGTGAAGTCATTTTGCCAAGGAGTTGGACAACTTTGTTTAGGGCATGGAATAGTACTTTAGAGTGGTCAAAACAGTAAATGATAATGAGGTGAGCACAACTACTATGTATTTAAGCAATAATTGTCTTTTATGGTGGTGCCGTAAGGATAATAGTGTCAAGCATAGTGAGCGGACAATCACCACATGGGACCAATTCATAGAGGAATTTAGCCAACATTTAAGTTAGAGTATGTGGAAAAGAAAACTTAAAGAAAGCTCTACATACTTTCTCAAAAGGGGAGAATCCAAGATTATTACAGGGAGTTCTTGGAGTTGTTGCTATTGGTCCCAAGCATGAGTTAGGTAGAGGTTTCGTTTTACTTTCTAGATGGATTAAAGTCATGGGTAAAGTTTGAAATGCAAAGAAGAGGCATGCAAAAACTGAGTCGAGCAATTACAGCTATAGAATCATTGATAAAGTTTGAGAGCACTGTGTCTCCATGGCCAAGTCGCAAAGGCAGCAGTGGTAGAGACATAGATAACAGTTCTTCATTCGATGAAAGGCTACTGACAAGCCCAAACTTAGCATGGCCAAGATAAATAAAGCCATTTCGAACAAGGGCAAGAAGTGGAAGCCCTTGAATTACTACTTGTGTGATAAATTATGTAGGGCCATAGAGTGCATTATGCATGCAAAGCTTGTAGCCATTGAGCGGGCAGAGAGACTGTGCGAAAGTGAGAGTAGTAGTAGTGATGATGAACAGCCCAAGATGATATGATTGGGTGTTATTTGATACTGCTGAGAGGTAAAAACCTCTCAAGGTGCTGATGAGGAAAAACAAATGATAGCTAAATGCTACAGTAAGAGTCTCAGAGTGTAGCTAGATTTTTCATAAGAGAATATGTCGCGGACAACTTAGAAGAAGCATAGAAAATGTCGACAGCATGGGCGAAAGGGACTATTATAGCAGAATGCTGAGAAACTTAGGATTAAGAATAGTGAAAGCCAACAAAATACATGTTCAAGTATGGGATCAAATTGTTAGGAAACTGGTTCACGAGGCAGAAGAAAGAACTGATGAGTAAGGCAAGTGCATCATTCCCCTAGCAACGAAGACGTTGCTAGAATGAGTGCTAGAGAATGTCACAGTCTGTATATAGGTTTAAGCTTAGGGATTCTCTCTAAATCGAGTTACAGTTCTAGTTCTAGTGGAACAGAGTCTGACAGCCAGCAAGACAGGCCCTGAAAAACACCAACGGTCTAAAAGGTGGGAAACTAGCCAAGAACAGTGGTGCAGGCAATGATAAAGACTCTAGTGGCTCAGGTAAAGTGTTCAGGTTTAGGACAGTTGAGCTAGACTTAAGTGTAGGTAGTGATGATCGAGGTGTGGGCACATGGTCGGACCAAAGTGCGGGCACTTCTGAACATAGACCTGAGATAATCAAAGTTGGTAATATTGAGTCGGGCCCAGGTACGAGCACAGGTACAAGCCTAGCTATAAGATGTTATTGAGCACAAGTCTCTAATGGGCCAAGGATGACTAGACCTTGTCACAGACTAAGACTCAAGTTCCAAACTTGCATGGCTTTAGGACAATGGAATAGACTCTTTTATGTCCCAAATTAGCTTAACACAAGAAATAGTACATGGGCATTTAAGATTGCGAGACTTGACCACCCAGAACATTGTGAAATAAAAAGTACAGCAAGTACTTAAAAAATGGTTAACAAGAAAACAATATAAAGTTAAGATAAGAGTAAAGATTTTACTCAATGGTTACGGTGTTAGACTAATCTGGGACACAAAAGAGTCCATTCCCATATTCTGAAACTACACGAATTTAGAGTTTAAATCTCAGTTTTTGACAAGTTATATCAGAGCCTTATTTGAAATAGGCCTCAAAGTCTAATACCAAGTTGTATCAGAACTTGATTTGAGATGAGCTTTCGAAATAAATGACAGAACCTGATACTAAAGGGTTTTGAAGCCTGGTTGAGTCCAAATGTGGTGATCAGAGTCTTGGTTCAAAGTGTGTAACAGATCCTTACTCTTGACAAGAGAAAGTAAAGTTACCATGGAAGCCAGAGTTAGTATTAGTGCAGGTCGAGGACCTTGCGTGCATGCATCCTAGTGTTGTGTACAAGCATTGTGGTGAGTTATGTAGGCATATTATTGTGTGGTACAGGCATCATAAAAGGGTTATTATGCTTGTGTGCTGGTGAAATGCCCTTAGCGTGCTAGGTGAGGGCATATTAGAGTGCATAATAAGTTCTCAACAAATTGCTACTATATGCTATGGGTGTGCTGGGCATGCTGTGCAGGAGTGCAAACTAGTGCCTGACTGAGAGGCTAGTGTGTTAAGCTATTATGCACACTAGTGCCTGAGAGTGAATGTTTACTGATCACTTGAGTGCTTATTAAAGTTTAATAGTTCGTGTGTTTTTTATTGTGACATGGACAGGGAAGACTAGATGAAGGGCCAAAATGAGGTGCACAAAGAGTGCCCGCCTACAGACAAGTAGAAGAAGGCTTTAGCAAGATATGTGTCAATTGACACTTGATTAGCAAAGTGCAAGAAGGCCATTTTTAGATAATAGATCGGTTCGAGGACATTAAAGGATCCTTGAATAAGGTAGTGGAAAAGCTCATACAGCATAATGAGGCATTAAAGTCCATGGTGACAACTTTGCGAGATGAGCTAGCTAGGCTCAAGGTTAACTATGCTGCATTACGAGCTACCATGGTTGTTGGTGGAGGCTTGGGATTGAGAATGAAAGTGCCTTTTGTTTTGCAGCATTCTAGGTGACCAAGCCATGTAGTCTTAAGTGTTTATGCATTGTTTTTTATGTTAGGCTCATATGGGATACAAAAAAGTTCATTCTCGTATCCTGGAATCACTGAACCTGAAACTTAAGTTTTGGCTCGTAACACATTCATTATTCAACAGAAGGGTTTGGCACTTAGTAGCTGGTTGGGTTGGCTCCATGCCATCGGACACTCGACTTTAACTGATGAAACAAGCAATTTTGTGGCAATAAAACATAGAATTGGCACAACTATTTTTGCATCAGCTCTTTTTTGTTGTGTAGTTGAATTAGTTAATAAAAATAGAAAATGAATGAACAATAAGAAACTTTCTAACTTTCAAGCCATTAAAAAAGGTTCCATTCTAAACTGACAACATTAATTTAGGATTCATTTGGATAAGTTGTGAGATTAGTTTAAGTGAAATTACAAATGATGGTAAATGTGAGATTAATTATTGTAACAAGAAAATTGGATAATGTAATAGTAAGATTAAAACTAATAGTGTGATATATCTTTGGATTCAAAAGTAATAATGACGATGAGATGAATTATAATAAAAAAAATGATCATTAAAAATAATAGAGTAAAAATTATATTAACAAAAAATTAAATTATTTAATATTTATAAAATTAATAAATAATTAAAATTTATTCAATTATTTTTAAATAAATTAATAGTTTTGCTAATAAAAATTAAAAAACAAAAATAGTGTTAGAAATTAATAAAATAATTATTATATTAAACAAATAAAAATATTTTATAATTTTTAAAGAAAAATCAAAATAAAAAAGAAAAGGTTAAATTATAAAAATATTGTTATTTTTGTAATATAATACAAATATAAAATGCAAAAAGGGGAAAAAAATTTAAAGTTTCAGCCATTCTTTCACAGGACCAATTTCTTCCGGTGAAAAAAAATACTTCAATATAGTGAGAACACTCAACCGTACTTATATCATATTTTTCACACGAATTTTCAGTTAATTTAAAGAATGCAATCGGCACCTGCCGTGGGTGCAATTGCGTCCAAATGGAGCCTTAGCTTCTTTCATTTGCATTTGCTAGCTCTGATTGGGGCCTCGGTCTTCCTTTGTTCACCCATTTAAGTATTATTGTAAACAAAAGGACCGACTTTAAATCCCAATTCCAAGTTCATGTCAGCTCGTTGTAACGGACCGCTGAACGACTCTATCTTAGTGGATAACATGTCAATCAATAAGATGAAAATTGACAAGCTGTCCGTCTCTGGCTGACTCGATTTATATATTTTTTTCCGAAAATATATATTCAAAGGTCTTAAATCACTAAATTTCTGAAGATTCGAGATCTTCCTATGATACTCCTTTGTCCTTTATCTTTAATACGAAAAAAGATTTTATCTTAACATTTTGAAATTAGAAATAAGTTGAAAAGTAGGACGAAAAATGAGGAAAAGAACAATAATAAGAACAAACATAAACAAGAAAATAAAATGATTCATGCTTTGCCATGTTTAATTCTAGATAATAGATGAACAAATTAATCATCATATCTTCCTGGAGCCTGAAGTAGATATTTTTTGTTTTTCCAAACTCCCAAGTCACAGGTCGGACCTTCATAACAGAAAGGTACCATTTCTCTTGCCCTCCATGCAAAGATCCAAAATTCAGGATACTACTACCAGCTTTCATGATATAACGAAAACAACATTTTCGGACAAATTATCTTCTTTTTAAGTTCACAAAATCAATATTACTTTTAAGTTCTTAGAAAACAGCTGCTATGCTATGGCTCAATATTACAAACCAAGTCAGGATATATATATCATAAACCAACAACTAAGAATTAATTAAAGAAATACCAAAAAAAAAAAAATCCGTTTCTAGTAAATTCTTTGGTTCAATTCCGACAAGCTGATGTGCTAATTCTCTTTAAGCCACATCAAACCAATCTCAGGTTTGGCCCCTGAACTGGCAAGTGTTGGGCTGCTAGTTCCACTGCTATCAGACAATAAAGCAGGAGTTCTTTGTAAAACACCAGATGGTGAAGACACTGCAGTCAGCGGTAGACTACAAGAATTTCCATTTCCAGTAACGGGGGATGATGGAATAGAGCTGCCTTCCATAGCTGCTGCGGCGGTTGCCGTCATGCTTGGCCTCAAAACCTCAGCGAGTGGGCCTCCAGGAGTGGAAGCAGCCCAAGAGGCAGGGGCTAACCCGCTTGATAGGTGTGATTTGGAAGCATATTCATGGTTCTGATCAGACTCGCTCGTTCCTAACCCCACATGAATAGGACCCATCTCATCATCCCTGATGTTATCGACTCCCACTGAGAGAGAAAGTGATGAAAGATAGAGTTTCCCATCAGAGGAAACAGAGGTTTCAGCTCCAAAGTTGGCATTGTCGTCATCTGATACACCAGTAGACCACGCATCAATAAAGCCTCTTGCAGTACCTTCTGGGAACTTTTCTAGTGGAATTATTTCAGTGTTGAAAAACAAAGAGCAACCATTGCGTTGTTGATTTTCTGCAGCATTGAAATTTGCGTATGAATTCAAGTTCAGAGGTTCCTTGTTATAATTTTGGTTGAGAACGGAGGAGTTATCAGCATTGTGGAAAGAACTGGTAGTAGTTGGTCCTATTTGCATGAGATGATGCCACTGTTGGTCAGATGAAGCCAGGGAAACGAGTTCTTCATTCATAATCCAGTCCCAGTTCCTGCAATGAGGAAATAAAGATTGCCAAAATTAAAACGGAAAAGTATAATCAGAGCTCAAAACACAAACAATTTGTGTGTGTGTGTGTGTCTGTGGGGGGGAGGGGGGAGCGCTAATCAAAGGAGGGAAGGAAGCTTCAACTGACCTAGGTTCCTTAAATGAAGAAACAGAGGCCACAGGCCAAAATGTTGCAGCTTTTTCGCTAGATTTATCAAGAAAACAACTGGTCTTATTCTGCTGGAAGGGCTGAGCAAGAGTTCCAACAAACTGCGATGGAGAAGCATTCTTGGTGAGAATAGTGGAGCAAGATGAAGGAAGAGCTTGAGTATGGGTATGGCGGGTCTTCTTGTTAGGAAGTTCCACAGGCTTTCTTGAACGGGGACGACCTCTATGCATGTGACGCTCACAATACTTTTGATCAGGCGCCACATCTCTAGAGCACCTCCATTTTTTTCCATCTGTTCTCCTGCACCTCCCTGGCTCAAGATCCCCTCTACCTGACAACCTCAGATTTAGAGCACCACCACCCACTGCCCACAGCAAAAAGAAAAAAGTTTTAAAAAAATTGGAAACGAAAATCTTACATTTCTTGGCATAGATAGAATGCAATAACCCTTCACTCAGTGAATATCCAGTCAGCCAACATAAGGAACAAATTTTCTCATTCAAGCAAGACATCCCTTCTCATCACCATCAGTAAAGATGACAAAAATGGATAAATTAAAAAGGTAGTAATAAGGCAAATAGAAAGAGGGAGATTACAGGCCGAGTGGGAAGCAACTGGAACTGAGGTGCTTCCGGTGATGGGAATGAGGAGATCAGGGGGCACAGGAATACAAGCCTTCATGTACTTGTATATCATAGCTTGTCTCCCAAGCTCCTTCCACTGTGCACTTGTAAAAGGAAACTCCAAAGATGCCGCCATCCCTCCTGTTACAAAAATCAAACATTCATAGTGCCTGTATCAGTCAAACAGACAACTTTACTCTCTTTCCCTCTCTCATTGAACAAAGATGAAGTTTTTCTTCTTTATTTTTCTTAAATAGATTAGTAAAGATGAAATTGTTCACAGAGGAGAGAGAGGAAGAAAGAGAAGGGAGAGAGAGAGAATTGAGAACAAGAAGAGACATGATTCGCTTTGCATTGACTAGAAGAGAAAAAGCAAGGAAATTTCTACCTGGGGATTTGAAGGCGGTGTGAGCAGTGAGGGTTGTAGTGGGAGAAATGTCAAAAGGCTGCAGAGTCCTTACACCAACTGCACCACCACTAGCAGCAGCAGCAGAATCACCGCTAGCAAAAACATCGTATATATCACCGGCCTTAGGCCTGTTGTTATTACCTGTGGGACCATCAGCATCACCATTACCAATTGCATAAGGTGGAAATGGACGGTGATGATTATCATGGTGAACCATCATCATCTTCCAAGGTGCTAATAATTTACTACTTTGCAGCTTCACACCCAAATCAACAGCTTCAATGCTACTACTCTCTTTGGCTGCCTTGTCTGAAACGCTAAAGCCAATCATGCTCATAATGAATCCACTTTCCCTATTTGGGAAACTGCCTTTTCCATCAAATAAACAACAACCGCCCCTAAACTTGAAAAAGTCTTAACAACCTCCAAACTTTCTACCCTTTTAAACATGCAGATAGTGGGGGAGGGAGAAATTTAAAGCCAAGACTATATGTTAATGCTTTTATCTTTTTTCCTTTTTCCTCTTCAAATGAGACCAACACCTTATAAATCTTTTTAAAAACTAGCAAATCTCTCACTTTAAATGACTAGGTGATGTGAATACTGAGTCGTGTGGTGTGGGGTTGATATGGGATTTTAGATTTTCGATATACGGATGGGCTGCCGCCATTCTCGGCCTTTGCTTTGCTTCCATGCTTCCAACATTCGCACCACAGTAGCAGACAAAATAGCAAAAGCGACTCTCTCTCTCTCTCTCTCTCTCTCTCTCTCTCTCACTCAGCCTCATCTCAGTATTGTGGCATCTATCGTTTTCTGCATGCAAAGCTAAAACACCGTACTAAATCATTCCAGTTTTCTACTACTATTTTATCACTGGGAAAACCAAACACCGACAGGATTTGGGCACCAAATCTTCCATAACACCCCCACCACAATGCAATAGGTTGCTTTAAGCTTAACGAAGTCAAAACTTCTCATTCAAGTTAATTAAGTTTGTCAGAGAGAGATTCATGATTTGACGGAACATTGCATTTGCATTGCCCAATATTTTATAATCTCTTTCTTTTTCATCAGCTTAAATTTTTAATTGACTGGAAAATATATGTTGCTATATAGAACTAAAAAGCATTTTGCAATCTCAAAATGTTTGATTGTCTTGAATTTGTCATTTCAAGTTCTTATCGGTGAATTTGATAAAGACGAAGGAGAATTGTTACTGAGACACCCTAAAGAATTCCAATTATATCAAAATAAGAGGCTTTCATTTTCAATTTCATTGCTTAACACGTGACTAAGCAAGCTGTTGCTGGGACAAAAGTATTAACTATGAACAGACAATTTATCGAAACGACAAAGAGAAAACCAACGAAAAGTCCTATTCAAGGTACGACATCACAGCCTAACAAGACCTGGTATGTTTAACCGTTTCCTCTTGGAACAATGTTCATCAAAGTGAACAGAGTTACCCTGAATATACTTTTGATTCTTGTACAAGCCAAGTTGAAAAAACAATTATACAAAGACTTGGGAAAAAAACCAAGGCCAAAAAAAATGGGTTTTGCAAAAGTAAATTAAAGAATAGAATATGAACAGGAAATTCAAACAAGTAGTACTGAAACACCGTGAGGCTTATGGAGGACTGGATGATCGTTGCTTGACCTTGGAGGGTAAATGTGGTTGCCTCGGGAGTTGCAATTGCAATGTGGGCCATTGCAAGAAGACGTGATGCTCCAACCAACTATCTAAAATGGACTCGCTCTTGTAGCGAGTGATGCAATGGTTTACACTATTGGGCGGTGCCGGGTAGGCCTGTGTTGGCCAAGGGGCTTGGTAGAGAGTGCGGCTAGAGTCTTAATGGTTTTTTCCTTTCCTTTCATTTTTTTTGTTTTTTGGCATAGCTTGGATGAGATGTGACGAGACGTGATGTGGGGGACATTTTTGGATCACAAAGTGATAATTTCTTGAACGCCAAAATATCTATGAAGATAGATAGCATTGGGAATTTGAGAATATTGGGTGGAATTATGGGTTACGCATGACGGAGTTCTTATTGGACGAGAAAACGGTTGATTAGTAGTACCAGTTATGTTCAAGGATTAATTGCTAACCAATGTTTAAAAAAAAAACATAAATAACAATAAATACACTAAAAATTAGGTCATGAAATGCTTCCTTTTAGTAAACAATTTCGTAGTAATTTTGCTATAAAAAAAAAAAGCGCTCTTACACGAGAAATGGTAATTGAACTAATCCAATTAAAAATATAAATAATATATTAATATTCATAAATTATTTAAATTTAATTTGAATACAATTTAAATTTGATTTAATTATTATCAAATTGAATTTAAATAATTTAATTTATCGATCGAGTTAAATTTAATCATTTTTATATCCGATCCAAATAGTTAATGAATTTAATTAAATTTTATATTTTAATTTATTTTAATTAATAAAATATCTCAAATTGAAATTCGAATATAAATAATATAATTTTTATCAAATATAATAATTGAGTTATTTTTATGTGTTAATTGAGTTTAATCAAATGAGTTTAGTAACTCTATTTTTATTTCAAGTTGAGCTGAAATTAAAAAAATAAAATTCGATCGAATTTAAATTAAATTTCAAATCTCAAATTTCGAATCGAATTCAAATTCGAACTTAATATTATATCAATTGAAACTCGATTGATTATACATATAAATCCGTCTATTTGAAATTTATATTAAAAGAAATTTAGATTAATATGAAATTTGGATTTAAGATCTTTTCATCTTTGATATTCAACTATTTAAATTTAAATTTTATTTTATTTTATTTTAATTTTTTAAAATTTTACAATTGAATCATTTTAAATTTATATTAATGTAATAGAAGTTATTAATTTTAATAAAATTAAATTAAAATGAATTTGTACAAAATTTTCAAATTTAGATCACATTTACTCTCCTCATTTTAAGACCAAACACCTTAACCTTCAAATTTACATGCGCATTTTTTATACTAATTATATTAGTCCGTCGCTTAACTTTTTATTTTTAGTTATAAGAGAGTACATGACTGTAGTAACAGACTAATTTAAGCAAATATACATAAAAAATCATTTTAAATCATTTTTTAAATACATTTAAAAATAAAAGCAAATTTAAAATGATTCAAGAGATTAAAAAAAACACATTAAAGACTAAGAGTAATTACACCATATAGTTTTTTATTTTTATACAAGTAAAATGAAATTATAGAATTAACGTGCTATCAAAGTTATCTTCAACTTTTTTATTTAATGATCAAATGAATCTTTAAAAAAATCAAAGATTAGGGTTTGACTCGACCTCTTCTCTTCTCTTAAGACTTTGCCTCTCTTGAAACTAAAAATAATAATAATAATTATGTGCTACTGGGATTATATTACTTTCACTTTTAGAATTTTTCAGTTGAATGTGTCATCCAAAGGGCCGGTTACTGCTCTCTCTAATAAATAAATTTCATAAAATCTTTGCAAAACAATGTTGAATTGTTTACGCATGATTCAATTGAGTTTCAAATTATGGCAAGAGAAATTAAAACAAATGAAAAGGAAAAATGAAAAAACAAGGGTATAAATATAGACAAAGGGTTAATATTACTAATGCGAATTTTAATAAAATATTTATATAATATATTATATTAATTATGAATTTATTTATTATTATGATATTTAGAGAGTTTATTATTAGTTATGTGTTATTATTTAAAATTACTAATATTAATTAATAAATTTATAATTTAAATATTATATTTAAAAATTTTAAATCTTACTATAATTCATATGCATTAGAGAAATTGTTTTGAAGCAAGAGGATTCTGCCAACGAAGAATAATGGACGACGTACGCCAAAAGAAGTCAAAAGGAAAGAAAATGAGAGCGCATTGATGAATGAGAGAGAAGATAAAAGGCCATTAAAGGAGAGTTGTAGACAGCTGGAAGAGGATAATGGGCTGTCCCCATCACATGCAATAATAACACAAACAAACCCCCTCTCCCAATTTTCAAACCAAAATCCTTTCACTTTCCTTGGTTACAAAACTAGTGAAGTGCTGCTAGTTGTGCATTTCTACCCATTTTGGAATCGTGATTTGCATCATACCCTCACCTTTTATTTGTGTCTCTCGTTTTGAATTTTCCCTATCCTTATTTACCAATCAACAAATGCTAGCTGTTGTCAATGAAGTGGTACCACACTCATTTCTAATTTTCTGGGTAAAAAAAAAAAAAAACGAGTTCCATGGTGGATGATTGATGAGGGATAACCATTTGTTGACCTTAATGAAACAATAAAACGAACGACCCTGACTTGTCACTTTGCTGCCCTAACCAAACAAAACCCATATTCTCCCCATCTCTAGTTGTAAAGCAATGGCTGTGAAATTGTTTTACTGGCTTAATCAAACTGTGTTTGATTCTCTGTTCTGAGTTTATTTAAGGAAAACCCTGTTTCTCTTATTAATGTTTGGTTTAAATCATGTAAAAAAAAAAAGTCCATTTGTTGCGTGCAAAGTACAATGATACGTGAAGATAGTGAGTGGGAGACATGTCTCTCCAGCAAGGAACAACAAAATAAGGACGGTATGGACCGCCTTCGGTTGTTTATGATTGATCAATTTCCAAGCTACCACCGCCAAGGAAACAAAAAGTCTTGCTCTTTCTTTTTTTTAATTCACAGCTATTAAGCATTCTATTATTCTTAATTTGTAGTCAAAGATAGCAATGTTTATCGGATTTTCTATCTGTTTTAAATTAGTGGTAGTATGTACATTTTGGCATTTTGGAAACATGCATGTGGTGGGAACATGGGCTTTGCATCCCCAAGGGACCACCTGGTCCTGCTACTTTCCCCTCCTCAACCAAAAATATTTCAGAAATCAGAATGTTTTCTTTGGGATCTAGTGATTTTAGTCTTTCACTTTTTTTATTATTTTCCTCTTTTTTTCTTTTTTTTTTGTACATAAGAGATGCCATTTTGAAAATAAAAAATTTTAATTATTGAAATTCAAATATTAAATATATTGAATATTATTTTTTAAAAATAATTAAATAAATTCTCTAATTAAACTTTTACTTTATTTTTATTGCTAGCAAAACATGTATGGACCATTCTTTCCTATATTTTTTATACATTGTGAAAACTTTAGACCTGAGAAAGAGTTGGGTGTGTCCAAGCTTTGGTAAGTTAGTTCCTGCATCCAACTGTATTTTGTGTTGTCGAAAGTGGAAACCAAATATTATTGGGTCAGGCCTAAAGGCCCCCAAACCCTTTCATTAAAGTAACAAACTAAAGAACGCATATGCCTTTATTTTCTTTCCTCATTTTGCAGCAGAACATGGCCCATATAATTATGCTACTTGACATATTTGGATGGGCTTTGGCTATATTATACTATAATCAGATAGTGGTTTGCATTAATACCAGTACATATATAGTACATGAGAGCATTTGCTGATAGAGCGTGATAAATACTAACACATTTGAGGTCCATTTCTTCCAACTCTGTATATTTTATTGGTATAATTTGGAAAGGATTCAATAGTCAGAAGTGTGATCTAAAAATAACATACTTTTTATGTGCTAATGGTTTGGATGGTAAGTAACAATTTATGGCATATTTATACCTGAGCTAAGCCATGATTATTCTTAAATCATAGTAGTAAAGTTGGAGATTTGGAGTGCTATGATGGTTTTCTGTTGTTTGATTAACAAGCAAGTCTAAACCATTGACATGCCAGAGAAGGCCAACTTAAATTGTTCTCCAACACATTGGGGCTTAGTTGGTAACTCATTTATTTTAAGACTGAAGGGTGTTTAAATTTGATTTTTATCATTTTGAAAATTGCATTTTGTTCCAACTTTTATTTTGATCATATTTGAGGTATACAATTATGAGAAAAAATGTGTAAATTGTTTCAAAGCCTTTGATTTAATAGTTAAAGATGTTTGAAGAAATATAAAGGATTTGATTTCAAATTAAGTCTTCTCCTTCTATTTTACTTATATTAGTACTTTGTTCTTCTGATTTAATAAAAAAAATATAAATATAAATATAAATTTAATTAATTTATTTAATCATGACGTTTAATTTTTTTATTTTCCTAAATAAAGAGCCTTTTTTGGTAAAAAAATTATGCATGTATAGGATATTATTGCATTGAGAGAGAGAGAGAGAGAGAGAGGTTTTGGTTGGCCTAAATGTTTTCGACTACTCAAAAAACACCATCGTATTTTTATTGGGCGTGATGGACCCCTCAATACTTCAGACAACACATTATTTTACTTTGTCCAAATAGGCATGATTCCAACCTAGGCCTCCTAGCAGCTTTCCCTTGAGTACTAGTGTTGTGATTTTTGCAAGCTGTATGTAATCCAAGAGCCAAGGGGTAACGACCAGACATATTGAAACTTGTTCATGTGATGTGTCGCGGTCCATATCAATGTCTAAAATATTGTTCGTTTTGATTTATTTGAATTTTAAAATTTTATTTTACAAAAAATGTTTATAAGTTAATTATGATATAAAAATTTATATTTTAAAATTAATTCTAATAAATTGATAATATAAGACTTATACTCTTAAACAATGATATTTTTTTCTTCCAATAAAGATTTATCATTTTCAATGATACATCATTAATACTCTAAATTGATTTTGATATCAAATGTCATAATTTACATAAATTTGTGAGATATTATTTGTTTTGATTATGTTAGATCTTACGATTTTATTTTATAAAATATATCTCAAAATAAAAAATGATGTAAACATTTATATCCTAAAATTAATTTAATACATAACTGATGTGAGATTCATTATTGATCTCTAGTATGATCACATGCTGCCACTTCTGGATTCGAAACAAAACATAAAGAATATATGGCATCTAAGACAGGCAAATCAATGTAACCAACAGAAGATCAATGTATACCTAATAAGAACATGGTGTTGTTATTCCAGTTTCATCTTCTCACTCATTCTTTTCCTAGTTTCATCAGCCTCTTTATCTGCACCTGCAATTTTCCTTCTCCAATTCCTTGACAGCCTCCCAAAACACACTCAACTTCTGTAACCATGGAATAAATCCAATTCTCCAGAGTCTCGGTGCCAATGGGAAGGAGAGACTTGCTTCTCCAAAAAGAGTTTTCAGGTCAGAGCCTTGAATCTATCAGGCTTTGGGCTACCCGGTATATTAAACAGCTCTGTCCCCTATATTTGCCTCCACAAGCATATGCTCTCTCTTGACCTCAGTGGCAACAATTTCAGTGGTAATCTACCTCAAATGCTGGGAAACTGTAACCAACTCATTACATTCTTCTCAATGATAATAGCTTTGAAGGGTCAATCCCTCGTCAAATTTTCATGTCGGAGTGGCTTAGAAGGATTGACGTGGGCTATAACTCCCTCTCCGGTGAAATTCCCCGAAGTCATTGCACCAATCTGGAATATGTTGGACTATACAACAACTTTCTAAGTGGTGAGGTTCCAAGAAAAATGTTTTGTCTACCAAATTTGGAGTTCCTCTATTTGAACGCAAATACCCTCACTGGTTCGTTACTTGATTTCCCACCTTCGTGCGGAATTTTTTGTCTTTGGGTTCACAAGAATGAATTTTTTGGTTCTTTGCTTCGTACCCTTGGAAACTTCTAAAACCCTACTACCTTTATAGCATCCTAAACAGTTTCAAGGGGTTGTTCCACCGGAGATTTTTTAAGTTTTAAGGACCTTTTGCAACTTGAAGTTCTATATATATTGATGAAAACAATCTCGAGGGGGAAATTCGGGACATTTTCTGGAGTCTGGAAAACTTACAAGAGCTTATTCTCTCAGGGAACAAGCTTAATGGAACTATTTCTGAGAGGATTGTTCAACGCAATCAGCTTGTGCTTATTGCTCTTTCAGACAATAATCTGGTTGGTGGCATTCCTCAGTCAATAGGAACTGTTACAGGTGTAGCTAATTTATTTATCTATAACAACATGCTTAGCGGCTCATTACCTCTAGAGCTTAGAAACTGCAGTTCACTTGTCGAACTCAGTCTTCATCATAACTTCATTGAAGGAAGTATCCCTCCAGAAATTTGCAATCTCGAAAATCTTGGGATGCTTTTAATCTATTCAACAATCGTATCGAAGGCCACATTCCACAAGAAATTGGTAGGATGAGCAGCCTGGTGCAGTTGGCTTTGTATAACAACTGTTTGACTGTGGAATCCCATCTGAAATTGTTCATTTAAAGAAATTAAAATCTCTTTTCTTGGCTCAGTCAGAATGATCTCATTGGAGAGGTGCAATTTGAGCTCAGGAAAAATAATTTTCCTACTCGTCAGATTGGATTTATCAAGGAACCGCCTTAATATTCTATAACGTTAATCGAAATTGTTGGAACATTGGGCTACATAGTACCAGGTTGGTAGCCTCATATTTTCGATTGATTTTGAAATATTCTATACACTACAAAGTAGAAACAAAATTTCTGAAGTTTCGATTTCAGAGAACGCGTACTCAACTCGGTTGACAGAGAAATGTAATGTCCACAATAATGAAGTAATTCTGCTGGAGATTCTTTGCAGAAAATTGCCTTTAGACTCTAGCTTCCAGGATGGCCTAGATATTGTCTGGGGGACTAGAAAGAACCTACAGGAAAATGAAGAATATATTTGCTTCCTTGATGAGATCAGCCTATAGGTCAATGTTGAACAACAAAAGGCCCTCAGATTGCTGGAACAGGTTCCGAGACCCGGGTATCTATTCATCCGGCTTCTTAGATCAGTTTAATCGTCATGATTCACACCCTTGTGAGATATTGTCCGCTTTGATCTTCTTGGCCTCACGGTTTTGTCCTACAAAAAGCACCTCACAAGATAGAGGTGGTGTGAACCCTTTTATATCCCAGTGATCCTCCTATTATGTTTGATGTGAGATTCAAGACTCCTCTTTAGGTCCGTGACATTCTCCCCCACCCAACCTCGTGACGTTCTCGTCACGGAGACTGACCACCCTGGCTACCTCCTTCGATGCACTTGACGTGAATCGAACGATTTAGGACTGACTCTGATATCACTTCTTACGGGTCGAGACTTAAGCTCCGAACCCGCGCGGCTCCGGAACTCGGACATCTACTCATCCGACTTCTCAGATCAACCTAACCACAATGGTTCACACCCTTATGAAGTATTGTCTGCTTTGACCCTCTTGACCTCACGATTTTATCTTACAAAAGACACCTCACAAGATAGAAGTGGTGTGAACACTTTTATATCTCAGTTACCTTCCTATTAGATTCAATGTGAGATTCAAGACTCCTCCTTAGATACGTGACACAAGTTCCTCCAGGGGATGTAGTAGCATCTCTAATTGAAAAAAGTGTATATAACACATAAAACCAAGGTTTTAGCTCATACTGCAAAATGTTATAATCTATTTTTATCAGATTCCCATTTGAGAAATGTATTTGAATGATGTGGCATGCATATGCTATCAGCATTTGAAGGACATAATAATCATATCATCGTTTCAAGAGATCCAGCTTTTTAATATTTTTACCGTTCTCAACTAAGCATTTTTTTAGTAAAGTATAAATAATAATAAAGTTTCATAATCATGCTACAACTAATCTACCAACAATTAAATAATTGGCAAGATATGACAAAGCAATTCACCAAGTACTGAAAATGCAGAAAACCACAGACAGTCCAAGTTCTCTTAAACTTAAATTTCAAATGCAATCACCATTTCATCCATTATCGAAAAACAGAATAACTGAGTAAATATCATGCCAACTGCCTGAGTACACCATCATTCCATAGGGAAGTACCTAACATTTCAGTTACAATTATTTTTTTTATCATGAGGGAAGAAACAAAAAACATTACCCAGGAACCAATTGCATATTTAGGAAAATCTTTTTTGCCATAAAGGACCTATTCTATTGCTTCCACATGTTGTGAAGTTTCAGCTTTTTTAAACTTTCCAGGGCAGTGATTCGCCTATCCAGGGGCTCACGAAGACTTTTCACCTCGAGACAAAGGGAAAAGTGAAAATATAAGCGCACAAAAATGCCACCAAGAGTGGCTGTAGATTAGAGCACCATAAAGACATGGATCAATCCAAACAAACAAACAGGAAAAAACCATTCATTTTTATTTATTCTTCTGTTCAGTTAAAAATAGGTAACCGTCCATCCAATCACATCACTTCCTTGTCTCTTGGTAGTTCATCTTTTTTACATTACAAGAGAAATAGTAACTCAATGGAATGGGTCTAATTGGAAGTCTCAAGCATCAGAATCTTTTGATACAAATCAGGCACCTGGTGTTATTACTCTTTCTTCACCACCCTATCCTTTAGGGTATTTACATTTTATGGTTTCACTATTGAAGAAATTACATCTATAGTTGGTATACCAACGGTTTTTGTATTGCACAATAAAGAACAACCATAGTTGAAAAATGTCCAACAATAGGCAGGAACAACATAAACATAGCCAGAAAAGAGCAACAAGGTGGCAAAACTCTGGAAATAGGAATTAACAGAAGAGGTCAGCCCAAATAATTGGAATGAAATAATTTCAAAAACTAAACAGAGAATCAGAATCAAACTGTTTTGGGCAAGAATATGTTGAGTTGGGTTAAAAAGCTACTAGAACCCAATAATAGTTATAGTCCAGTACATAGGGTAGTATTTTAAATATCAGTTAAACACAGCGGTAATGTCTGTTTAGTTGCTGCTTGTATGATTAGTTACGCTTGATTAGTTATGGGAGGCTTAGTCACTATCTGTTATGGATATGTAAAGGGGTAAGTAACGATCGTGAGCATTCTGGAAATTCATACAACATAATACAATATTTCTCTCTAGACTCTCTCTTTTCTTCTTCTTCCTCTACTCTTCTTTGATCAGACTCTCTGCATCAGCTTAATCTCTTCATTCTTACTTGGTCCGTAACACAAACTTAGAGAGTTAAAACAAACTCCTTTCACCGTAAAACTTTTCCAAGAAAAGATTTCATCGACTGGCAATCTTAACTAAGCATCGCGGCTTTTACCAGGTTTTCCCTTGTCAAAATCCCCATGCATCAAAATCAAGCCTTTTCATCCACAAAGCATCTTTCTCTTCCCTTCCCAAATACTAGAAGATTCTATCTTAACCCAAGCCTGCTATGATTGGGTTAATGTAGACCATGAAATTCAACCTAAAGAAATATCTCTAACAGTCTATCCCCCACAACCAGAACAAAAAACAAACGACCATATTATTACATTTTCATATAACCATCAACTACTGATATAATTACCAATCTTCCAAGCAGCTACATGTGTAATGAAATCCATCCTTCATATTGCAAATACATACGAAAGAAACAAACAAAAATCAGCACCAGCACCACCCTCATAGAGAACAAGAAGTATTTTTCCTATTCCTCCGGAATTCTATCTCAACGATATGGTTTTTACTGAATTAAAATCGCAAATGGAGCATAAAACCGAAAACCCCAACATTATTCCGTAAGAAATTGAAAGGCACCCCATAAGTTATGAAACAAAACAATGCCGAAAGGAAAAACGGGGGAGTACCTGGTGGGAGATGGATTCATGGGCAACCTCGTAATCCTTGTCGAGAATGCAGAGACCGAGAAACGACGCAGTGGCAGCCACCGTGAAGAATGAAGCCAGACTTACCCTTAATGCATACCCCATCATTGATCTTCCCCCTTCCTTTTTTATTCTTTCCACTTTTTATGCCTTTTTTTTCCTCTACAAACTTATTAAATGTAAGAAACTTGAAACGAGAATCGACCTCACTAAACTGAAAACGGCAACGCTTCTATCCATTTACTGCAACAAACGTTGTCGTTTCCAGCTAATTTCATATTTCCATGTAAGAAACTTAAGAAGAATCGGCCTCAAATCAAAACGACACAGCTTTTAGTCACTCACTCCAACAGAACGTTGTCGTTTCAAAAACCATTTCGTAATTGTTCTGTGGGCTGTGGCAGCCAACATGTGTTCAGCAGAGGCAATCTATATATAAATAGAGAGAGTGCAGAAATACACATTACAGTGTGAAGCAAAACAGCCCACTTTTGCCCCCCCTTCCTCTTCTATCGTCTTCCCATCTCGAAGAAAAACTTAGGGTTAGGGTCTGGGTTGGGGTTTCTTTCATTTTCTTCTTCTTTTTTTGTGGTTGTAAAGAGGAAAAACATGCAGCAGCCTCCACAGTTGATGAACATCACCACAGAGCAGATTCAAAAGGTTATATGATCTTTACAGCATTACCCTTTTAACAGATTTACCTTTTAATTATACCTGATATTTAATGCGTTTTAATTGATGGGTTTTACATGCATTGTTTTTTTTTTTTGTATTTCTGTAATCAAATTGCTTTTTTTGTTGAATTTTAACTTGACGTTCTTGATCATTTACCACGGTTTCATGATCCTGTCATTTTAATTTTCTTGGTTGTACATGTTAAAATTAATGTGGACAGTTTGCTTTCTAAATTGTTCTCTCTCTTTTTTTTCTTTAAAGAAACAAGAATGGTTTCTTGAGAAATAAATGTATATCTGTTTTGTGTGTGTACTGATATGATAATGGACCATTCTTGTTCCAGACCCTGGACGAGAATAAAGAGTTGATTATGGCAATACTGGAGAATCAAAACCAGGGAAAATTCGCTGAGAGCGCCTCGTGAGTGACCATTTTTAAACATAATGTTCTTTTGTTTACTTCCAACATTATACCAATTGTTATTAGCCATTGCGATCTGATTTTTGTCGTTGAGGTGAATGTGTTAGATCAATGTCATTCACTCATTCCTTGATGTTAAAAAGTTTATATTTTACCCTTTTCATGCATCATAGTGACTCTGGTATTTTTCATGCATCTCCTCTGTAAATGGTAGGGAAAGGTTATGTATTTAATAGGCCTCCTATTGGTTGCTGCTCTTTGGGTTGTTTTCTTGGTCACCCCTCAAATCGAGTTTTTCACATCAGAAATTATTCTTTGGTTATGAAGTTGTAAAGTTGTATTGTTGAGTTCTGTATGTCAAAAGGAAAGCTTAAATCACTCGTTTCCTGCATCTTCGATGCTGGTTTAGTGCTCAACTTCTAGGCTTTCTGTGCTATTTTCATGGAAACATTTTTAGAATGATAATATCAGCAAAAACTGAAAAAGGACACATACATTCCTATTAATACTCGGTCATCTGTATGACTAATTTAAGGAACTGAAAAACAATGGCCAGTGGCCACCATGGTGGAAGAAATCTGTATATTTAAGTTTTTTATGAGTTATACAGTCTGTAAACAACTGTACTGTAAATTATGATATGTACTCTGATTTTATAAAAATGATTCAGGTTTCAAGCACAGCTGCAGCAGAACCTAATGTATCTAGCTAAAATTGCTGATGCTCAGCCACAAGCATCAACATCTTCTCAGGTGCTGTCTTACAGATATTTTTCTATTTAATATCTTTGAAAAAAACTAGAAATGCATTAATCTGAGCTCATTTGTGAAACATTGTAGATACCTCCGCAGTCTGCAGTGCAGCAAGAGCAATACGTTCAGTCCGCACAAGCTGAAATGGCTAAGCACCATCCAGGTTTCTTATCTTCAAAGTTGCCTTCCCCGTTGAATGATCAGCAGCAGCAACCACAGCAGCCAATTTATCTCCAACAACAGCAACTGGACCAACCACAAGTGATCTTAAGATCAGTTGCCCCTAGTGGCAACTATCAGGGCGTGCAAACTGGGCTTGGTAACAATTTCATGAATATTCATGGAAACAAACAAGACACCTCAGAAGTTGGTGCTGGTGAAAGCTTTCCAAGCACAGCGTATGGACGACGCTAGAGATAGGAATGCACGAGGCTTCAATGATGTTAAACTGGCTAGTACCCTGGTGTTTACATACTTCTCTGCCTAGAATAATGTGATTGTATTTTGTTGCTCTTTTTTGGTGCCATGGAAATAGGGAAAAAAGTGGCAGGGACATACTAGTGAAGAATGGACTTGGTTCCTTTTTCATCTCTTTGACTTAGTTGTATTGCTGCTCTTGAATCTCTTGGCAATGTATTGGCTATTACTGATTAAAGATTCTGGTTTCAATGTTCCTAGCTTACATTGATAATCTTACAACTAAGGCAGAGTGATCGTGAGAAAAGTATCCAATTCATCACCGTCGTTCAACCGTTTGGGCCAACGTCCCTTAACTACCATACAAAGCATCTGTTACAGCGGTTTAGATAAGCTTACAATTTCTTCAACCATGTGGGCTCTAAAACCTTACCTTGTAAAGGGAGATCAGTACCATTATATTTTTATTACTCTAGTTTTTAAGCTATTATAGAGGTGCTTTCTCGACCCACAGATCAAACCTTCCGAGTCAGGTGCATCCTTTGCAAGTTGTCTGCTGCTTGCACCATGTTACCACTCAAATGAGCGTGATGGCATTAATCCATCCACCCTCCGCGATGCGAATTCACCTTTTTTTCATTTTAGTAATGAACTGCTAGCATTTTTATTTTGGAAATGACAGCCCAAGTTGTATGCAGTTTGAATGATTGCATTCTGTTGTAATTTTCGCATAAATATTCCACAAGGCAAACCGAGAAGCTGGCTGACATTTGACACTGATCACCATTGCCTTAACTAAAAAAATTCAGAAAGTGAAATGAGTATGAACTACTAGATGTACAGTTGCACATGGGAGAATTGATAGTTAGATGCTGATGCAGGAAATCACATCTGCAGCTTGTGTAGACAAGAACACGCAGCAAAATAAATGTTTTTTCAACAGACGGAGTGCCAAAAGGCTCAAAACAATTTAAATTGTCAGCATATGATCCAATCAGAGAATTCTCTCAGATGCCAAAGATTGCCGATGACAAAGATTAGGAGATACATTTAACTATAAATAAATCATATCCTGTGATGCTTGCAATCTGAATAATGCATGTTCCACAGCTGAATATTCCAATTCGAAATATCCTGCCAGAACAAAATCCAACTGGTAATTCTCCAAATTTAGTTAAAATGATGATTTACTAAAACTATGAAATTCACATATGCTGACGAACTAGAATCACTTATTAAGGTTGAATTAATTGTTAACCTGATAATCCTGCACCAAATACCTGATGAGCCCATATAATTCTATAACTGCTTTGGCAAAAACTGATTTATCTATATCTTAGACAGGGTATGCCATATTGCCATATCTCAGACATTCACTCAATCCCAGCAGGAAAGGAAAAACAAATTATCTAATGCAATAGTGCAGAATCTCAGTACTTCATTATATTTAATACTTCAAATTTAGCTTGTTGCAAACTAGAATTGCTAGTGAAAGAGCTGCCATAGAATAGGAAATGCACATATAACACAACGATTAAACAGTAACTCACAATTGAGGTAAATGCACTCACTATCTTCTAGAAGATAATGCAGCCCCAGTTGCCCTGCCATTTTACAAGACAATTAAACTCAATAAGCTCAAGGCACAAAAACATACACTGATAAATAACCTTCAGCTACCTGCAGGATTTTTTGCCACATACCTGCCTTGCTGTTTTCCAACAAAATTTGAATTAGACCGTCCATGTCCAGAGGCCTTGCTTTCAACACTTGTCACACTTGATCTGTCAAAATTTGCTCCATTACTTTCAGCAGGATCCTTAGATTTGCTCATTATTTTTACATTGGAGAAACCTCCAGACACACCAAAACAAATGCCATTGGGATGTTGATTCTCGATTGCTAACAGCTGTGAATGATCATCAGCTGCATTGTTAGAGATGGCTACATGCTCCTTGAAAACAGCATTCTCATTCTTCACATGGTTGGAATCAATTGATGGCAGCACCTTCTTTAGTCGATTAGGCTGTGCCATCGGAGTAACAGCAACTGAAGGCAAAAATGAGGAGTAAGGAGATGACACTGCAGTGGCTGCAGTGACTTTGGCAACAGCAGCAGTGGCTGCTATCATCTCTTGTGCTCCCTCTCGAAGCTGAATATAATCGCCCTCAATCACAAATAACTGAAATCACAAAGAAATCACAATTTCAAATCTTCAGAAAGTATAATTCGCCTACAAAAATGTAAAAAGTCGCAACAAACAAACCTCAGGGTGACAGGCTACAAAGTCATCCAGCTTTCCATACTTTTTCTTGTAATCATGCCAGTGTAAAGGTACAAGCATTTTCCCCAGCCTATTTGGTAGCTGCAATTGATAGATACAAATCAAACCCCATTTGTGCAGGGCTTAATGCCATAGTTGACTTAAGAAAAATTATTTGCAGACCAACTAACCGTTGAACTGATCCGAATTCTGCCACCAGTTGGAATTGTGCGAACTATGCAAGCCAACAATGATCTTTCATCAAGCAGAGCAGTCTCTGAAGTCTTAGCTGATATCAAGATGTTAGTCTTCCCAGTAGAGACTGACTTTTCAGGCAAGAAAGCACTAGCACCATTGCTGATTGTTGTTTCACTGAAATTAACAGAATGTGCTGAAGTGTCGGGAGGAGATGGGCTGGCAGCAGTACTGGCTTCTTCTGCTGTTAGAACTTGGGCCTCCGGGACATGATTATTCATGTTCACAATATTTTGTTCCTGTCCAGTTTAAATTTAAGTAGAGATTAGATCTGAAAGATTTCCAAACACCTGAAGACTAGTCAAACTAACAAACCTTAGATTCACAACTCTGTTCATGAGTGCCTAATCTCAATGCATCATGAAATTGTGAAGAAACCTGCTGCAAGCTTGGCTCAGGTTGGGGGTCCACAAGGTAACTTGATTTAATTGACTCAAGGGCCTGCAAAGAAATGGTATTAAAAAGTTAAAGAAGACATGACAACGGTACCGAGCACTGTAAATAGAATCATCTATATTTAAAGAACCTGTGCTTTCCCAGCAGATGATGATATCACAGAATTGGGCTCCTGCCCTTGGCTGATATGATCCATATAATCTGGACGAATGGCTTGTCCAGTGACAGACATTTCATATTCATACTTTACATCTGACCTCCCAAAGCCCTGATCAGTTTGGAATGGTGGAAGTTGATTCTGTGCAGGTAACATGAAACCCTGTTGTGAAGTCTGAAAAACCATTATATATAACAAAGAAAACCTTGGGACAAAATTGTTAATGCATTGGTTTGAGCATACCTTTTGGTTCTGCCACTGTTGGATGGACGACATTGCAGGCATTGAGTAGAGTCCAACTTGAGATGCCACAGAATGTGGAACCCCTTGTTGATGCATGACAAACGAATGCAGAGCAGTCACCTGCCCAGGTGGGAGGTAAGTTGGCACCCCAAGTAGAGATGATGGAGCAATTGGAACACTCAGAACATGGTCATTCTGATTCTGATAGTAAACACAGTCATTTCAAAGCAACAAACAGAGTAACTAATAAAAAATGTTATAAACAAGATATACACCTAGGAATGTTATTAAAGATATATCATATTATAGAATCATTGGTTATGTTCAATCGTTTGCCTCACTAGCAATGCACCAACTAAGGCATATGAAGAAAGGCAGAGATCCACAACTTCAATAAAACTAAAGATACAGTTGTATCATATTTTGCCAATAAAATACATAACCATCTGAAGAAAGGCATACACCTATAATCACTATATAGAAGGTTATAAATATTAGATTTCTGATTACAGCATAATCTAAGCAATGACACATCAGCAAAGCCACCAGTCTTACCTGAGTCGTTGCATTGCCAGCAGAAGCAAATGATTGAACATTGTCTGAAGCCCCATTTGAAATGACCCCAGCATTAGCATTTGTTGCACCACTTCCATTAGAATCCACTTGGTTGCCATTATTTTTACCAAATTGAGATAAATCTTTTGAATTTGCTTGGGATATATGCGATTCATCAGTGTAAGAATCATTCCTCTCTCTTGCATCAGCCAGCTCAAGTTGAAGCTGATGTATTGTATGTAAATGAAGTCTCTCCATCTCTGCAAACTAACATTAACAACCAGGAACAAGGTCAATTTAAATTCGCTGAAATGACATCAAATCTATTTATTAAAGGAAAGAGAGAAAAGTGTAAACAAGAAACTAAAAGCTCATCAACCTGTCTCTGACAGCCATGCCAGAGCTGGTTATATTGCTCTGTACGTTCTCGCAATTCAGCCTGTAAGGAGTGGTTTGTACTTGACTGCAAAGCATCCATCTCCTGGACACCAGAAATCCAAGTTTGGGCCTCCCTCAACTTTTCATCCTTATAAAGAATGGTTTCCTGAGCAGTCCTATACTGAAGAATAAAACTACCATTAGGCAATGCAACTTGATGTCTTCTAGCAATCTACAGTAAAGTTAATTGATATTGTCGCGTGACTTCCATTTCCATCACAAGAAATATTGTTCATGTAAATTAAGTTAATTTGAAAATAAGTAAATTGTAATTTGCTCTCCAGAGCTGAGTTATTTTCAACTAGGGGGAATGATGGAGACCATTATTCAAAGTTCTGAAAGAATGTCTATTCTAGACATAAATTTAGGAAACAAGATTAATTTATTAGTAGACTTATTTGTTTGGTTTATCGGATTAGTCTTTATTTGGGTTAGGTGAGCTTTACTTTCCTATGGGCTTAAAATCTGGGTTTATGAATCTTATATAAATAGGTCTATTATGTTTAGAGATTAGGTTTTGGTAATTGGCATCTTTGATATCAAGAATTTTGAGGTTACAGAACTGAGATTGCCGACAGTTATTGAGTATTGTTATTTAGGGTTATTTGTTCTACATCACATTGAGGAAGATTATTCACACCTTAACCTCAGGAATTAAAAATAAAAAAAATGAATTAAAATCATGCAAATGTATGGACCTGTTCCTGCAACTCAATAAGCTGCCTCTCTTTCTCTTGAACATGCTCTTGAAGATCATGTCTCTGTTTTACGTGTTGAGCTCTCTCAGCTTCCGAATGATCACGTTCTCTTCTGCCAAAAGGAAAGAACAGGAAGCCCATCTAAATTTCAGAAGCCTCAGACCTTAGTAGCGAGTTTAATTTATTAAAAACAGTAACCAACAGTGGTAGCTATTAATTATTTAGGAAATGCCATTCAGAGACAAATATTAAGGTAATATATTAACTCAACCCTTTAATAGATTTAGAAACTTTCAATAGTGTCAGAGCAACAGCAACTAGAAATATAAATAAAACATTCATATCAATGTATTGCTTTAAGGTTTATGTTTACAGCAAATAAAGAGGTCCAAGAGTAAAAGACAAACACACACCTGAAAGTTGCCAATTCCTTATTTTGCTCTCTAAGAAGGTCTTCCTTTGCCCAGGCCTTCCAATATAATACAAGAAGCACTAATTTATACATTGGTAAACACCACACTTTATTTTAAAAGGAAAAAAAAGATTGACCAGAAGCAGAATGAACAAATCAACAGACCTCTTCTTTTTCTGCTTTGATGGCATGTAGTTCTCTATTTTTCTCTTCCATTTTCCTTTCCAATTCATGTATGGTCTGTTCATTTTCATGAAGTTGCTCCTATTGATCCAAAAAAAGCCAAAATACAGGTTGAAACCAGCAAAAAGATAGCACCTTCGGTAGAATCTACTTGTAAGATACTTGGAATAAATTCAAGAGTCAATGGATCTAACTGGTTTTTTGTAGACTATTTAAAACATGAGATGTTCATTATGTAATTTCAAAGTAAAATGATAATACATCTTGAATTCAACTCCAAAAAAAAAAAAAGGTAGGTTTTACTTATTGACTCAGTTCAACAGTCAACACATAATATAAATGTCTTAATGTTTATAATCTTATACATGAAACTTAAATTCTCCTTGTTTTTCTCTTTTATAAATCAAAGATCATATTATAATTTTTAGATGCAGCTAAAACTTGACTTGTTCCTTTTCTCTGAAAGTTGAATTTCAGGACAATAATATTACGAATCAAATTCCAAATTCCAACCTCAAGCTTGGCGACAGCATTGGCATGGGCTTTGATTTTAGCATCAAAGCTACTCTGCATTTCCAAGATCCTTGATCTTGCAATTGCCTGAGCTCGGAGTTCAACCTCCATTTGTTGGAGCTGCTCTCTCTGTCTAGCAACATTGTGAATCTGCTGCCGCAATATGTCATCATCCAAACTTCCATCAACCGTGATTGAAAAGAAGTCAACATCAGCAGGCTCTCTTCCATGCTGCACCTTGATAAGCATTCAACCATGTTCACTTTTCATCATTCTCAAAACATAATTTACTTTTAAAATAAAAAACCTTACCTCATATATGGTTCGCTCATCTGATTGTCCCAACTTTGATCTTTCCAATTCCTGCATATTGCAAGAAAACTTAATAAAACAAACAATGAATGCAAACGATCCAATAATAATAGCAATCATAATCTTTCACAGCTTAAGCAACATAGCTTAATGCTCAAGGACATTTCCTCACTGCACCAATAACTGACTAGGTTTTGACACACTAAGCTCTTGGGATGATGTAAACACTTAAAACAGTTTAAACCAAATTCACATTCCCAATTATTTTAACAACCAAAGGATCACAATTTGCCATCAACCAAATAAATGACTGGATCCAAAAAACCCAACCCAAATTCTATTATTGAGAAACTTACAAGAAAATGGTAAAAAAGTACTACTACTTAACAATGAATAATCAACAGGCACACGGGTAAAGTATAAGCAAATAAAAGAGCCAAACAGATAAACCCTAATTTTTCTTGCTCACATGGAACACTGAAGAATATCAAACACTAGTAGTCAAATTAAATTAGTCCAGGTAATTGTTCTTTTTTCTAGGGACCAAACAATGAGGCGTTTCAGATTCAAAACATGAATTTGTTCTGATTTCAACATTTTCTAAGAACCCAGATAAAACCGAAAGAGAAAGTTTTCATGATTAGATAAAATTACAACTTCATCCGCGGGGTTCCGAACCAAGTGATATTCGGAAACGGCACGCCTCTCCTTCCGCGATGGTGATGGCATCGGCAGCGAACCACTCTGTACAGCGGCAACACTGGCCGGGGCCTCCATTGAATCAGAATGTCCGACACTGCTCCAACTCTCCCACTTCCTCTATCTGGAAAAAGCCGACCAAAAAAGAAGAAGAAGATACTACGGTTTTTTGATAAAGAAATCAACAAAAACCCTAGAAATGAAGAAACTTAGAAGGAGCGGAAATCATAAAAGAGAGTTGTGGAAACAGAAATGGGTTGAAGTTGGGTTTTAAGTATTGGAGGATTTCTGGAGATTTTTGAGTGTGATAAACAGTGCTATTTTGACGCCGTGATTGACAAATCGAGAGAGAGAAAGAGAGAGAGAGAGAGAGAGAGAGAGAGAGAGATTGGTGGGTGAATGAAATTTCGACCTAGGCCTGGCTCCCGCCATTTATAGGGCTAACTGCGTCGATAATATATGATTCCATTGCGCTTTCCGGTGGCGCGTGCTCTCCAAGTTTCTGGTCTAGTCAAGATTTTCTTTTTTTTTTTTCACTAAAGCCCAAGTCAGTTCATTCCAGCAATATATAATTTAGGCTTCAGCCCAGCCCAGTTGAGCTCAACGTATTAAGCACTATCAATAGCTTTACCAGAGGATGCACGTGTCACCTGTGTATTTTAGGCTACAGTTTAGGCTTTTGATTTGTAAATTAAATTTGTATCATATAAAATAATTTATATATTTATATTATTTTTATATAAAAATTATGTGTTATTATTTTTATTAAAATCATTTTTTTTTATTAAAATTTTAATTTATATCATATTTATATTTTTTTATAATATTTTATCATATTATTTTATAATATTTTAAATTACCTTTTTTCTGAAGACAAGTGTAGCTATTAAGTAGTACTATCAGGCTTGCCTTAGCTGCAGACTAGTTTTAAACTTTTTGCCATCTATTTGATTAGACCATTGTTAACTTGTTTTATTATTTATCATCTACCATTTGCTGTAATTTTCTCCTGACCAAGATTATGAAAAGTTACGGGCTCTAATTATGGGTGTAAACGATACATTAGTATTCGTAAATTATTCGGGTTCTCAGATTTAAAAAAAATTCGAATTTAATTTGATTATTGTTAAGTTGAGCTCGAGCTCGAGTAGTTCGACTTATCGATCGAGTCAAATTCGAGTATTCTTATATTGATTCGAGTAGCTCGCGAGCCTAATCGATTTTTATATTTAAATATATTTTTATTATTTTAATTAATAAAATATTTCGAGTTCGAGTTCGAATTCGAGCATGAATAATCGAATTTTTATCGAATATACGAATCGAACTTAATCGAGCGAGCTCGAATAGTTCAAATTCGATCACGAATCGAACTCGAACTTGAAAAATAAAATTCGATTGAACTCGAACCGAATATCGAGCTTCGAGTTGTGAGTCGAGCTCGAGCTTCTCACTACTCGACTCGGCTCGACTCGTTTACACTCCTAATTCTAACGAAAAATACAACCGATGTCTGATGCCACATGCAGGAGTCAAGAGTTCTTGACATTATAAATGTGGTGAGATATCTTGATTTACCTTCCAGTGGCACATAAATTGTTTATTTTGGAGTGAAAAGCACAGCTCCTGCTTAAAGAATTTAGCATGTTTCTGGCTTTGTCCTTTTTTTTTGCCATCAAAGATTATAATGTGATTATGGTAGGTTTTCGCATGACCTGAGAGTAATAGGATTTTGATCACTCATGACCATATTTATGAAAAACTGCAGGCTCTAATATGATTTCTTGGTATCGGTACGTATCAACTTGAGGTGCTTGAAGAATAGAAGAAAATTGCTGGCACAGCTTTCGAGTATTTTGAACAAGAAGGGAACAAGGTCATTTTCAGTGGAGGTATTGGCGCTACTGTGTATCTGTTTTCCTAGGAATGGAGTATTCCTTTTGGTCAAGTTCACCTCCGACCTCCTTTTATTTTTATTATTGTTATTTTTCTTGCAGGAATTAAATCTGGGCACTTCAACTCATTCTTTGCTTAATGATTGGATAAGAGCTTCAGATGCAAAATTGAGCTTCAACCTTATCTATATGAAATTTTTACATGGTGTGACAATTCCTGCTTTTAATACAAGACATTGATAGCATATAAGACCAGGGACATAGGATTTTTTTTTTAGTAAATTTAACCCAAAAGAACGTTTGGTATTCTTTTATTCTGAATTGAGAGTAAAAGTATTATGATATATAGATGAATGGCTAGGCAGAAAATCATGCAGACTTGTCATGGGTGGGTCCATTTGCTAGCCCTACGGGCCTTGCTTGACTAAAGTTGAGTTTTTGACAGAATTTTAAATTTTTTTATTGTTATTTTACATAAAAATTACGTATTATAATTTATATTTATACAAAAATTTAAAATATATATTTTTTTATTTTATTAAATCTATTTATAATTTTTTTAATTTTAAATTATATTATTTTCATATATTTTATTTGTATCGTTTTTATAATATCATGTTTGAAATTATAATGTCTTTTAGTATAAAATTATTTTATTTGATATAAAATTATTTTTATTTAATTTAATTATAAAATATTTAGAAATTTTAAAATATTAATATAAAAGAAAAAATAAAACTATTATTATGCCTATACCTTTCTTTTTCTACTCAGCAAAAAAATCAATGAAAGGAAAAAGAAAAAAAAAAAAAGAATAACACAAATAGGTTTTTGATTATCATGTAAGTCAGCAAACCCTGTTTGAAGTGAAGAATATATTCAACTATCGAAATCATTGATACCGTTACGACAAGTAAGCCATAAACTCGATTTCTTATATTATTGAAGGAAAATTAATATCGCTAGATTTCTCTTCGAAAAAGGTTTATACACGATATTTTTTTCTTGAGAAAAAAAAATTAAAATCAAGTGGCTTGAAAGTCAAACTTTATAGGCCAAAAAAGAGTACCTTAGGATCTTGATTTCAGCCAATTTGGTTGGAGAAGTATATCAGACTCTTGGGTTTCGTCTCAAGGACACAAAGTAGTTCTTTGAAATAATGCTGGAAACACCATTGTTTTCACGCATTCAGCGCATCGAATGATTGAGCAGATCAGTTTCTTATGAACACAAAACTTGCGTTCTAACTTTGTTTTATATAAACCAGTTAAATACTAAAAATAATTTGCATAGACAGGACAAGTTAAATAAACAATTTCCCTTTTGTTTTTTTGGTTCTGATAATATATATATATATATATATATATATATATATATGAAACTGCAGAAAAATCCCAACCTCCGAAACCTGAAGCTTTGAAATTTCTGGGGCAAGTTATGCCCAGCACAATGCTTAATCAAAATGATCCAAAAGGCTTAATTAACCAAACCCTGAATAGTCGACACAACCGCACCCACCTAACCCTGATTGATTACTTAACCATATTCATCAACTGAATCAATTTTGTTCCACTAGCGTAGAGGAAACCATGAACTAAGCTAGCAAATGATGAAATCAGGATTCGTCGGGAACAAAAAATAATTAAACAAGTTTTGTTTGAGGGGATGACATGCTTGTCCGCATTAATTATGGGCCACCACACTCGAAAAGAAATCTAATGGCTCCAAGGAAAACCCTTTGCCCCATTCCAAGTTCCCACCGTGTCTTATTCGTTAACAACTTTAGATTGTTCTCAATTTTTAAACCCTCCAATAGACGTAGCGATTCCACGCTTTTAAACGTGTTCACATTAAAAAAAGAAAAAAGTTGGAAATGGAAGAAAAAAACAAAAGAAAAGAAAAGCGAAGCCAAATGATATTTATATGTGCGAAAGAATAATCTTGTCATTCATCTTTTTCGTCGCCATCATCTACAGGGCAAGATTTCTGCAATACTTGAACGGGAAAAGAGAAACCGAAAAAAAAAAAAGTAAAAACTAGAAAACGTGATCAAACAAATTTACATGGCTAACAGAATCGATTAATTTAAACCCTAAAACACCAGATATGGTGGTGATGGTGGTGGTTGTGATGTTGATGGTGATGGTGATGCTGTTCTTTATTGATCATGCCTTGAACATTGCGAAACTCCTCGACGTGGCAAGGGATGGTGATGGGGCCTCTCTGATCGAATCCGTACTCTTCTTCAGCTTCCTTCAAGAGCTGTTCGAAGAGCGGGTGGTTGATATAGATCACTGGGATCACAAACCTTTGTTGCTTCTCCCCTTGACCTACGAGGATTGCCAGACACCCCTTCGGAATATCTTTCAGGTCCTTCTTTTCATGGTGATGGAAGCCGTGAAGGTGCGGCATATGAAGGTGGAAATTCACGTGGTGTTTGTCTCCACTCCTCATTATTTGTCTTCAGCAAACCCCGAAAGCAAGAACAAACAAGAAACAAGAAAAACCCTTATAGTTCCTGTTGGAAAGAGAGAGAATCTGCTAATTATTAAGGTTACAAGAAAACGAGAGAGAAAGGCCAAGGATCAGATGCAGAAATAGCAAGCTTGAAAAGGGTTAAAGAAGAGTCTGTTAAAGACCTTGGAACGTTGCTCATGATAAATTGAGAATCAACTGTAAAACTCACATATGAACAAGAAAGGAGAAGCGAGAGATTATGGAGAACTAGAGTTCGATATTTATACCCAAAAAAAAAAATGAATAGATGAATAAATTAAAAGGGAATATTGAAGAAAGAAAGAGGGTTCTAGAGTTTGGTTAGCTTATTAACTAAGGTTTTTGGTTTGGTCTTGGAAGGGATGAGTTCAGGTCACCTAGGAAAGGAATCGGCTGTTTCGGCTGAACTGGTCGTGCCTCTTGGCTTGGAGAGGGTTACTTATCGTTATTGCTGTCTAAGATTTAGCTTAGCACGTTTTGTAATTTTATTACAGCTGGAACAAATTTTACTTGTTAATTCTATTGTTATTTACACAGCAAAAAAATTTTGGCTACGGCTAATTGGCTATTGCTTCAGTCCGGCGACATTACATGACGCAAGTGTTACGCAACATTCGGCATTTAGATTCTTTAAAGTCAACCTCCCATATAAAATTATCTTTAAAGATTTAGTACCAAATATACGTGATTACGATTAAATTGTACAACATTTTTACAAAGTAATATTTGTTAAATTAGAGTTTAATTATAATATTTATAAATTATTTTTTTATATTTAATTATAAATTTTTATTAAAAAATTACAGTTCAAATTATGAAAATTATAACTTTTTGTATAAAAAAATAAAATAAAAATGATCAAGCTATCTACCTCAATTGATCCACTCTTACTGCTTTCCGAATTAAAATCATACTTGTCAATTATATACATTAATACACCAAAACAGTTAAGAATTTAGTAAAAATTTGATTGTGATTCTAATTCGTGTGATCTCATTTTTGGAGTAAAATATATTTTTTTAACTCCAATCCTTTCCTGAAATTTGAAATTGGGGAGTAAATGGAAAATGACTTTAAAAAGGACTGTCCATAGAATTGTCGAAAACGTTCATAGCAACTGTGCTTTGGCCAATGGCTAATGGCCAAAGTGGGGCCGACGCCGCTATGTGGGGACGACATATAGATAACGAGGGGCAAACGATTCGCATCATCGGCGACAGCGACGTCAACGGGGCTGATCAATCTGACCGACACTCGCGGCAGCTTCCATACGTCTGTGTTCCGTTACAACCAATAAGAATCGTCGGGTCAGCTTTAAAAGAATACTATTCTAAAGCAGAATGGTAGAAATGGTATTAAATTATAATAATATTTAATGTAATATTTAAATTTTTAAAAATTTAATAATATTTAAATTATAAATTTATTAATTAATTTAATATTTAAAAATTATTTATTTAACATATATTATTATTTAAAATTAATCATATAAAAAATAAATATCATATTAATTAATATATTTATATTTTAAATATTTTATTAAATATTTTATTATAATTCAAAAAATTATTTCAAGTTAACTCAAACAAAGATATTTAAGTGGATATGGTACAAATCTCTGTATCCAACAAAAGCTAAAATCCAAACACAGTGGATGAGAGCCTGAGAGTCGAATGTCAAATTTGCCCATCGATACTTCATAGAATTACTGGTCAACCAACGTGGGACCCTTTGATGCGAAGTCCCCGATCTCGTGCCAGATTTTACTGCTAATTCGTTGTCGATTAAGGAAAAAGAATAGCGTGTGATAATTGAAAAAGTATAGTAAAACTTTCCTTTTTTGTTGTCGCTTAAAACGACCGTTTAATTTGAGATGGATGTGATAAATCAATCATTCTGTCCGTCCAAAGGAAAGCATTCATCAAACAAACCGGGAGAGCTTTAAACGGGAAGATTAATAAAATTAAATAATTAAGAGGGTGTTTAATATGGAATGATCTGCTTAAAAAAGTTTTATCATTATAAAAATATAATTTTTATTATTATTTTTTAATTAATTTATCTTTATGAAAAATATAATTAATATTATTTTAAAAATCTAACTAGTAAAAATTTTTACAAATTAAATTTTTAATCACTTATTTTAAAAATATTTTATATTATAAACTTATATTGACTATAAAAATAATATAATTTTTTAATAATTTTTAAAAATATTTTTAATATTTTTATAAAATAACTTTAACTGTTTAATAAATTATTGACTCAATAAATATTAAATATTTTTTTGTAAGATTATTTTAGATATTTTGTGTTATATAATTTATTTTTTTTATATAATATCGAATAAAATAATTTAAAAATAGTACTATTTTTTTTTTTTAATTTCGAATAAACAGAGCCTTACATTAAGAGATGAAAGTGTTTTTTTTTTATTTTTTTATCACTAAATCAATAAACTGAAGATAAATAGTACTGATTTATAATATTATACTAAAGATAACAATTTAAGATCACTAATAATCAAATCACCTTAATGAATATCATCATAATAATTAAATTATTGTAATAAATTTGAAAATGATATTTAACGTTATCCAAAAAAAATTAAGTTTAATGAGTAAATTAAGATAATTAATGTTTAGTTAGTAATAAATGGTAGATGGATAACCCACCAAAAATTGAAAGTCAAATGCAAATTTGGTTGTTGCCAAGCACCCTTTGAAAGTGAAATAGTATTTTACGTGTATCATGTTTTATTTGGGTCTATAAAAAACTTTTCGTCCCGTAGTCATATTGTTTTTTTATTATTAAATTTTTACAAATTCATTAATAAAATGATTATTTGACTTTCTTCTCTTAATTTAATGATTAAGAGATGAGTTAAAAATCGTGAGTTCGAAGGGTACTAACTCTCATTTATAACAAAAAAAATAAAATAAAATAATTATTTAAACAAAAAAATTATAAAAAATAATAATAAAATGACGGGAGGGCTAGAATTGGTTAAAGGTCAACCTATCTGACTAAACCTCAAAGTCCGCATCAAATTTAGAAAATATTTGGACAAAAAATTAAAATTTATTAAATGAGTTTGGATAAAATTTTTGAATTCATTTAAGGACATTAAATATAAAAATTAAAATAGAATTCGACTGAAATTATTATAATTATATAAATATATAATTAAATTATTATAATTATAAACAAATTTTAAATTAAAATAATTGATTGAACCAAACCTAAATAAATATATATTTATATTTGATGGGACCCATCAAGACTTTTAGTGGTGATACGGTGAAACAAAAATATAAACTATTTAAACAAAGAATTAGTATTTGGTGGCCTCCGTTTCTCTTTGGTGCCAAAAACTGAATAAGTCTATGAAAACAAAAGCTGGTGGCTGAGTGACCGTCGTCAAGCATTTGTATAAAATGTTCACTTTTTTCAAGGTCACGATTGTGGTGGGCTCAATTCTTCACTTCTTGCGACATTTTATACAAAGAAGAAGAAAAAAAATGATGCAACGTCGGAAAAGCCAAAGAAATTTCTTCTTCTTTTATGTTCTTTGTACATATATGTTGTCATATATATGTTTACCATCTTACATGCAGAAACTTGTAACAATCCAATTAATTGCACCAGTCAATTTGTTCATAACTTCATATTATTAAGAGGAAAATGATTTAATACTCTAAAGTCTGCGTTGAATTAAATAATTAATGGACCAACTTTTTTTTTTTTTTGAGTGGGATTGGAAAGGTGCCTGATTCTTATCCCATTAGTGGGCACTAATATATTTATATAAAATTCTTATTTAACGTTAGCATTTAAAGTTTTTATAATTAAAATTATCAGTGTGACACAAAATTTTATACAAAAAATAATAATAATTGTTATAAATTCTGAATTCAAATAACTTATTTTAATGAAAAATAGGTAGTAATTATTCCACGGAGTCAATATTTAGGGTCGCTTCATTTCCACTAATATAGATGTATAAATAGTCAATATTTCTTCAAGTTCATCCATCTAGTGTAAGAAGAGAAAAAGAAATTGCGGTAAGTCAGTATGTCACGGATCTAAGGGAAAGTCCTGAATCCTACATCGAATATAATAAGAAGGTCACTGGGGTATAAAAGGGTTCACATATCTCCGTCTTGTGAGGTGCCTTTTGTAGGATAAAATCGTGAGGTCAGAGGGTCAGAGTGGACAATACCTCATAATGGTGTGAACCGTGGCAGGAAGGCTGATCTGGGACGCCAAAATGGTGAATGCCCGGGTCCCGGAGTCGTGCGGATTCGAAGCTTAAGTCTCAACCCGTGACAAGTGGTATCAGAGTCAGCCCTAAACCGTTCGATCTACGTCGAGCCCCTCGAGGGAGGTAGGCAGGGTGGTCAGCCTCCGTGATGCGGGCGTCACGAGGTTGGGTGAGGGAGAATGTCACGGACCTAAGGAGAGTCCTGAATCTCACATCGAACATAATAGGAAGATCACTAGAGTATAAAAGGGTTCACACCATCTCCGTCTTGTGAGACGCCTTTTGTATGACAAAACTGCGAGATCAGGGGATCAGAGCGGACAATATCTCATAAGGGTGTGAACCGTGACAGAAAGACTGATCAGGGGGTCAGAGCGGACAATATCTCATAAGGGTGTGAACCGTGACAGAAAGACTGATCTGAGACGTCGAAAGGGTGAATGTCTGAGTCTCAAAATCGTGCGAATTCAGAGCTTAAGTCTCGATCCGTGACAAGTACCTAACCCAAAAAAAAAAAAAAAGTAAAGTCAGTAAGTGAAAGATGCAAATTGCACGATTGAAGGAGGGACAAGGAAGGAATGAACAAGGGAAGGCCTTCCAAAAAGTCGGGTGGTTGTGGGGTTCTTGGCTCTTGCTTTGTGAGAAAGAAAGAGTGAAGTAAGGCGTAATGGGAGGGTTTTTTTTTTTTTTTTCCCTTAAGTTTTTATTTAAATGGATGAAAAGATTGATTTTGATAATATAAAGAATAATGATCAAAATTATTGTAATTATAATTAAAAAAATTATTGTATTTGGGTTTGAAAAAAAATTAAATAAAAAATTTATATTGAATAATTTTAATTGAAATTAATATTTATATGATGGTATAATAAATTCAATTACAATTAATCAAAAAATGAAAGTATTTGAATATAATATAATATAATGGGTGATTCTTAAATTATAATTAAATAATTAATATAATATTAAATTTTAAAAAATTTAATATGATATTTAAATTATAAAATTATTAATTTTTTTAAATTTAAATATCTTATTAAAAAATTTTAAAAATAATTATGACATTTATTTTTTAAAAAATATTTAATTAACCTTTTGTTAAACGCTAGATATGATATTAGGATGTCCCTTCACATGACATGATTATCTTCAATACTATTTAATAAATCGATTAGCTTGCCCTACAAGGATTAGCGTATCTAATTAATGACTTGATTATTAATTGGTTTTCATTTTTTTTCCCTCTTAAACATTCCAAAGTTTAAGGCGACCCGCTTTGAATGCACGTGTCTTAGCGGCTAGTGTAGTATTCTTTGATTCTTCGACCCCATGTATTGCTTTAGTAGCTAATGTATTTTTCTTCGATCTGTAATTTAAATTTTATTATTTATATCTTTTTTATTTTTAAATTATGATTTTTCATTAAAAAAATTGCTGATTGATTGACATGATTTAATAATAAAATTTTTATGTGTTGAATTTAAAATTTAATTTAAAAAATTATTTATACACTGATAATAAAATTTTTTAATTTTATAAACAAGTTAAAATGATATCATATGTCTCATTTTTTTAAAATTATTTTTTTTATTTTATATATAAATATATTAAAAAATATATTATCATTTTAATTTTACTGTAAATTTAAAAATTTTCACTATTATTATATTTAATAAATTATGTTGATTCAAATAATGTATTCATCACTTTAAAAGAATAAATTTTTACAAAATTAAAGTTCAATAACCATAACATTTACATTTTTTAATTTTTTATCATTTAAGTTTCTATCTCCCATTTTAAAAAGGAAAAAAAAATGAAACCTCAATACTAACTTTGCATCATATTTTTTAAAATAATTTTCCTATTTACTTATTTAATTTCATTATTAACATTATATTTCAAGCCTCTAGAGCACAGTTGCCCAAAGGAAACCAAAGGCCCAGAAGAAGGGGTCCGTCCCTTCTAAGATCCTCTCTCTGGTGGGCACTGGCAGCCCATTTCAATTAAGATATTCCGGGCTCAGGAGATCGGAGCCATCTAACTCTTGTCCAAGACCATGTCTATATCTCTACCTCATAATGTATAATCCATTATCTACAATCGGAGCCATTTGCTTTGCTTTGCTCTAGAAAAAGTTGATTTTCAAGATTTAATCAGCACTTGTTTTTTCAAATATAGCAGACAAGTCAAGCCCCCTAAATGGCCTAAATTCAAGTCCAAGTTCACATGCTCCTGGAGACCTGGACTAAGATTTTTTTTTTTAATGTGGATTTATATTCCGATATCGGGGGTATTTATCCTTGATGGATTGATGATCTGTCCGGTTTGTATTGATGATGTGTTTTGAGAAATTATATCAATTTATTATATCAATTCGACTTGTTATGTCAATTTTATTCATTACGCCAACTCGTAGTAAATGATCAAAATAATTTTGAATCAACAATAAATCATCTCTTATGATAAAAAAATAATTGTACATTTATAATTATAAAATATCCTTAATAATAAAAGAAATGACATTTTAAACATGATAATATTACACAACACAAAGAATTATACAAAAATTACATGAAAATGATACAATTTAAAATTTTGATAAAATATAAAAATAATAAAACCTCATTTTTACCATTAAAATAAAGTCTCATGGCATTCTGCCACTTAATTCCATTAGCAGATTTTCTATTTCTGAAAGGATTTTGGAAAATTTAATATTAATTAATCAGCTAGCATCCAATGTATGATTCAACATAATTTGATTACAATAATGCACTAAACATAAATTAATGAAGAAATAAGGTATTTAGTTTATTAAATCTTTTTTTTCTCATTTTATGGGCAAAAGATAATCTTTTCCTCTATGTGTATCGTAAAATTGAAAAAACAAAAACAAAAATTTAAACAACACCAAAAAAAAGAAAAAGAAAAAGAGAAAAAAAAAAGTAATTTTAGGCTCTATGCTAAAAGATTGAATCAAAGAGGAAAACAATTTATCCAACACATACATGTAACTTTGAAAATCACTGCTTCAAAATATTTGCATTACGGATTCTTCTCAGCCTGATGATTTGATCTTTTTAAATTTACCAAAATGCCTCCTACCACCATCGAAATCCACCATTATTATGCCCATAATCAGGGAGTCAGGCGGTAGCCTATTGCCTTACACAACATTCCCTTCCTGCATAGACCCTGGCAATGACGACATTTCACCGTGACTATTCACCCTGCAACTCTCTCCTCCTTCTCCTCCTCTGGCGGCCAAGGAGTCCGCTATCGGTTTAATCACCAAAATACCCTCTCCAACCACGGCGCACGTGAATGTGGTAAGGAACACAATTAGAGCTATTCCATCGAAAGCGGTCTTGTCTGGTGTCCAAAAAACAGACAACCCCATAAACAGGATCTGCAATGGCAAACCTATGATGACTGCCAAAGCGAGGGCAAAGATTCGAACCCTAAGGGCCTTGTTGATTACATGAGAGACAACTCTCCAGAATGAAAATAAGAATGACAACGTAAAGACGGCTCCAAAAACGCCGAACAAGATAGTGCTTAGCAAAGGGTACGCACACAAAACCGTGTTATGGTCATGGCTGTTCCAGCAGAGGAACCAACTCCTATGAAAAAGTTCTGGCAAACGTATCTCCCGACCCTGAAAGAACACAAAGTAAACTTGTAAAAGGAAAATTGGAAGACACGAGTCCAAGACAAAGAAAACACTGAAGAAGCTTCTTGGGTGTGTTTTCTTGACGGAGACTTCGAGCAAGAAAAGTAGGGTTACTAGGAAACCAGGCTCGAAGAACCCTAAAGAAAGAACGAGGTGGACTTTGCAGAGGTTGGCTCGTTGTGGCAAAGTTAGCTGTGGCAAGAGAGGATAAAAATAGCTTCTACGGAAATAGGGTAGGCGCAGCAGTTCGGTCAGGGCCCAGGACGTGATGAAGAAGACAAAAAGGAATCGGAAGGTCCAGAGAGAGTTGAAATTCTGCAAATGACGGCATCTTCGGGATTTAAAACGGAGGTGAAATATGAAGCAAATAGAGAAAAGAGAGAGGAAGAGGAGGATAGCAATGAAGGAGATGGTGGCAAAATCGATGGCCGAGTCAATGAATGGTAAAGCAGGAATAAAGAACATGGCACACGTTGGCTATAAAAGATGATGATAAGGGTAATGGCGGAAATTGTTAGAAAATAGCTGAAGGGTGTGGTGGCGGCTGCGGTGATAGTAGGAACAAAAGTTGGAAGAAAGGGAAATAACCCATAAACCCAAGGGAAAGGCATAATTGGGAGTCGGTAGGGGTAATGGATTGAGAAGAAGAGTTGATTTCTCTCCCCTACTCCCAACCGGCAGGAAAACAGGCTGGTGCACAGCTAGAAAAAATTTTTGGGAGTTTCTTTGGAGAGAGAAAAAAAAAACAGAGAGTGAAGAAAATGAGAAGTTTTTCGTGGTGATCTAAGATGGCTGCTTCGATTTCGGATGTCTGGTGGTTGTGGCAGTTTTTAGGACATGAATGAACAATAATAATGTCTGTTGTTCGGACAATTTTATAGGAATTTCCATGGATATGTACGATGGCTTTCTATATATTTTAACGGTTGGACCTGTTTCTCAAAACAGACAGATTTTGTTGGGCCTGGCAATATTCACCCCGCCGTCTCTAGATATCATTGAGAGGTCCGAGTTAGGCAAAATCCTACTTTCCATTAATAGTATAAAACCCTGTCTTTGCAGAAATCACTATCTGTTTTACTTAAAAAAATAAAGATAATTCAAACCCAAATTTTAATTTTCTTGATTTATGTAATTAATTTTAAAATATAAAAAATAAAATTTAAAACTCAAAATTTACTCTTTTTATTTTTATTCCCGAACTTTGTTTACTTTATAATAAAAATAAAAGAGAATTCTTTTTGTTTTTTTTACTTTATTTTCGTGCATTTCAAGCACCTGCCACCTACTGCATCACAATATAAATATACTTAGGTAAAAAAAAGTGTAATAGTAGTATACGATTTTCGTTCTTCAATTAATCAAAGTGATCCCGAAAGCACATCTAAATTTATTGCTCCGGCCTCCAAGAAAGAAGAATGCGAACTTCTGAACATCTTTGAATTCTCCGAACTCTCATCCTTTTGTATCTTGCTCCCTCTCTCTGTCTCATTTTCTTTATTCATTTTTTTTTTTATGTTTGAAAATTATATTTTTTTAACATCTAAAATTTTTACGTTTTTATATTTTAAAATTTTTTTTATTTTTTGTTATTAAAAATTATAAAACATTAATTTTATAAAAAAATTTAATTTTAATATTAAATATATTAAAATAAAAAAATCGATATCACTCAAACAAATTAAGCCGGAGGGAATTTTTTTTTTTTTGACCACATGGTGAGGCACCTTCGAGGTGTAAACTTAAAAACTTTAGAGGTTAGGATCGATCCTTGAACCAAAAGCGGCAAAATTGTTATCGACTACTCTTACACTACCAATAGTTCGTAATTCTGATTGATAATCGTCAGCTCCGTCAATATTGCATCATCAATACCTCAGGTAAAATTAATATGAAAATGTGAAAAGCCCAGTACAGAAAAGTTAAAAGGGATTTGCATCCCATAAACTTTAATACTACTATCCTGTGTTGCAAATTGCGATTAAGGTTAATTTAAATGATAAGTAAAATTTATTTTGGTAAAATTAAAAAATAATAAAATTTATTATAATTACGATTAAAAAAAATTAAATAAAAAATTTATACTAAATAAATTTCATTGAAATTGATATTTAAATTTAATCATTGATAATTATAATTTAATTACATCACTGGATGTGCAATTGAATTCAAACATAAGCTAAAACAACTTAAAAAGTCTGAAAAACATCAAAAAGTTACAAAGAAAGATCCGAACTTCAGTTGTTGCGTAATTGAACTTTACTAGTAGTAGTGCAATCAAAATTCTCAACAATATATAAACCGTGCTCCTATTGGATTGAACTTAGGGTCGATTGTCTCTCTTTCAATGTACATCTTTGGTTAATATTCCCTCGAGTGAAGATCTTTAAAGAAAACATGTTTAAACAACTGATTGCATGTTCATAAGTTCTGTTCAAGATTGGGTGATACAGTTAAATAAAGACTAATCATCTCTTAAATTGATCCAGGGAATAATGTATAGCTAGAGCCTAGATGAGATGGATTTCATCAACAAGAAAAAGGGAGTGAAAAGTTAGTTATAGGAACTTTTATCCAAAATATATATATATATATATTTATATATAAGAACTGAAAGATACCTCTTTTTAATATAAAGAAAGTAACAAGCTGAAATGGAATCAATCTAGAGAATGTATATCCACTAAACCCTCTAAAACATCCTTCTGCAAATCCACCTTCACTTACAGGTAGAAAATCCTTAATTTAAATGTTGTATATATAGCAATGGGGAAACTTGCCACCTTATTATTGTATTTCCTTTTCATTTTCCCCAGAGATCCTCTAGCTAATTCAATGATCAAGAGAGATGAGACAAGAACTTAAACCCTAATTGAAAGTGGTTTGAGACTTTGATTTCAACCCAATAAGGATTTGGGTTCCCCAGACATGGATTTTTTTTCGAAAGGTTGGTTTTGAATAGTTATGAAAAGGTTCAATCAAGTACTTATACTTTATATTAAAGAAATATGAGGGAAAAAACTCAGTATTTTTTAGAACTGAAATGAAAAAAAAAAAACCATTATGTTTTAGATCTAAATTTATAATTACCTCAACTAAAATCTAATGTTTTCCTTTATTTATTGATGCTATAAGAATTTCATTTCTCTTTACGTTAAATCATATTATATATATATATATATGAGGAATATTAGATCAAAATAATTAAATAATGTAAGTGTTATAAATTTAATTTTTATTCAAAAGTAAAAAAATATATAACTCCTTCGTACACTAATATTGTAAGCGAATTCTTACTCTCTCTATATGTAATCTAGAATGGTGAATTTTATATATTGTCTTAATTAATTTTAAGATAAATTAAATCATTGATCACTCAACTGTCATATTTTTAAAAGTTTATTAAATTATTAAAATTTTTAATTTAATCATTAAAATTTGAGTAAATATTTTTTTATCACTCAATCGTTAGTCTCTAACAATTACAATGTCAATTATAAGATGTCATGTGATATTACCACTTCAATAAATTTTATTTTTTCAAATTTTATAATGCCACGTTCGCAATAAAATGTGGTTTATTAGATTATGTGGCAATATTATTTGATATCTAATAGTTGATGTAATAATGTCATGTGAAGATTGACAGCTGAAACACGATCATTAAAGATTGACAACTAATAATGTGTTGCTAGATACACGACTAAAGACTAATAGTTGGGTAACCAAAAAATATTTACTCAAAATTTAATAATTAAATGATCATTTTAAAAACATGATCATAATTAAATAACTAATAGTATATTTTACCTTTAATTTTATCATACGTACATTATTTGTGGAGAGAAATGTATGCCCTGACTTGCCGATATCCATGATACACACTTTAATTATTTTACTTTGAGTTAATATGTAATTTGATCTTTGAATTATATTATTTTTATGATTTAATATTTATAAAAAATTTATGATTTGACATATTAATTTTGCATTCATTAAACATTTTGTAATGTTGACTCATGGTACTAGTTAAAATCATAATATGATAGATATTATCAATAAAAATATGTCACTTTTTATAATTTTATTTGTTAATTTTTTGTTATATCAAGGGATAATGTCTTATATGGCTCCTAAACTATTGTAATGTTTTGGATTTGGTACCTAAACTAAAAAAGTTGCTAAATAGGTACCTAAACATTGAACCATATATCAATTTGGTCTAAAAGTTAACTACATTAGCTGAGTTATTGTCTTGACTATTTTAACCGATAAAAAATTGCCATATGGACATAAAACCACAGTCCAAGGCTCTTTCTACTTGTTTTACCATATTGCCCTCAAACTCAAACACAGAACCATTCCTTGCAATCATGCCTTTCAATCCATTTTTTATCTCATTCTTTCCCTTTAATTATGCTAATTCTTTACCCACAATTGATTTTCCCATCAAAATAACTAATATGAGAATGATCATCAATGCCCAACAAGAATGCCTGTCTTTTTGCAAATGAGCCAGAATTGGCTTTTAGAGGCAATCTTTCATAGTTAAACATATGATTGATACAATCACTCACAACAACTTTAAACAAATGATCTTGCAACAAGTCATTTGAATTGGGATTTTGAGAGCTTTCCAAAAACGATTTACTAACATTAACTTCTTAATTTGAGAAATGATTAAAAGGAAAATTGGAAGTTTGAGGCTTAGAAACAAGCCAAAAGGTTTCCCACCCTCTGAAAGATAAAGTAAAAGGTTGATAATCTACTTTTGATGACTAGGTGGATTAAATACCAAGTTTTTGGTGAAAAAGGTCCATTAAAGCTTCTTTATAGTTTTCATGAACCTCTCTAGTTTATGCCTAAGTGGTTGAATCAACTTTAGACTCTCTTTTTTGTTTGCTTCAAGATTTAATTATTGTGTCTATTTTTCAGTCCAACTATTTTCTAGTTGCCCATTTTTCCTAAAATGGTAGCTCTTTATCGTATATGGATGAGAAGCATATACATCACTTGAAAAATGTTAGCTAATGAGTGGTTACCAGAAAAAAAAGGACCCAGTTGGTTATTGGAATGCATATAGAGATGTTCAGCTAGATTTAAAGAATTTACATTGTCCACTTTCATGCCAGGAACAACAGCAAGAAGAGTGGACCTACCAAATACTATCGGGCTAGGTAAAAAATCCCTCGTTACTATAGCATCTGCAAAGCATGATTCCTTTTGAAATTGTTGAATTGCTCTTTAAGTGATGAAAACCCTTATTGGCAAAGATCTGAAGCAGTCAACCCCACTGATTGAGCTTGTTGATGACTTTATAGATTTCTAACAAACAGACCAACTTCATCTATAAGCCAAGAACTAACAAGTCATCTATCCCCCTTCATTCCTAATTGTTACCCCAGTGCCATAGATAATTTCCTAACCTAGTAAATGTGATCTCATCTAGATCAATTTCTTTTTGATGAATCTTCAATAAAACCTTTATATATTCTTTTAGTCATCTTACTTTTTTCATTTGCCATTGATAGATTTCACAAGGTAGGAGCTTTGATTTCACAAGCTTTGAATTTTGCTAAAATTTTAGAGAGTTTTTTCAATTTGGGGTTTAGAGTTTATGTATTGAATTTGGGGTTTATGTTTTAAGCGAGAATTAAAATTTTTTTTACCGATTCAATTTTTTTTCAAAATATCTGACCACATAAGCAATCATGTCATGCTTACATGTCATTTTGTGTCCAGATGATGGATTTTTATTAGCTAATATAGTTAAGTCAAATTTAAGCTAACAAAATTAACTCTTGGACTAAATTGATACACGATTTTAGAGTTTAGATACCTATTTAGTAACTTTTTTAATCTAGGTACTAAACCCAACAAACTACATGGGCATATAGGATATTATCCCTTATATCAATATATTATTAAAAAAGTTGATTTATGAGTAAATGATATGATAAGATGAAAGTTAAATATTAAATCATAATTTTTTTATTTATTAAAACATAACAATAATATAATTCAAG